CTCTAACAGTGTGTGTGCATATGTGTTTATTTTTTGAAACTTAACGTGTTTTCTGTTGTCAGTGTGTGTGTGTGTGTGTGCGCAAATGCTTTAGTTTATTATTAGATAATTCCTTACTTTGGTTAGTCTCAGTTGGATAATAATAATGAAAGAGATCTTTTAGCGTTTGCTACTTAAAGTGTAGCAGCAGCATCAGGCAGATGCTTGTTAAAAATTTCTTGGCCAAACAATCTGTATTGTTTTCCCATAAAATAAGACACATTTTTCATTTTCACCAATAACTTTATTGATTTGGATATTTTGAGTATGTTGGTTATCTCCCACGTGGTAAAACATTGATCGTTCTCAGTTAATGTCTTGATTTGATGGCTATGAACTTCAACTGGTCTACTGGATCTGGAGCTTCGTTTTCAGCAAGAAATCTCCAGCACAAAACTTAGCAAACCACTTTTGACATGTTCGATGGGTCACAGCACCTTCTCCATACACCACACAAATCTTTTTTTGCATTTCAGTTGTACTTCACTTTCTTGAAATAATAAATCACAATATGCCAAAAATGTTGTGTGTTTTCTTTCATCTTCAATAGTAAAATGGCTAACAATAATTCACCAATTTTGATGTTTTTTTTAAATGCACGCTGCCAGAACAGCTGTCACAACACAGTCTGACGCATTGTTTGGAGTGAAGGTGAAGATGACAAAGCACTGCCGGCCCGCCTTACCTAATGAGCTTTTTGGCCAGTCCAGGAGTATCTCAGGTCCTACCCAAACCCACCGAATAAACCTGCAGTTAGTAAGATCACAGGTGACTCGTGTATATGTTAGTTTGAGAATCACCGTTTTAGATGATTGAAACTATCTGAGCAGTGTGAATGCTTTTTCTGGCTTAGGTTTCTTCCCAAATACCAGGCTGCTTTTGTTCACATTTTATAGGATCAGTATGTGTTCACTGGTAAAAAGAACTGAGTGAAAAATTTTAATATAGATATGATCCTATAAATTTTATAAGATCAGGTGGAATGTTACTTTCTAGTCCTGCTCATCTTGTTATGTTACTGTTAGAGGAAGAAGGACACTACTGTGTATGAAATCTTTATCTAGCTTAGGGTCCTGTCAAAATCAGAAATCACCTGTAGCTTGTCTCCTGTGCTCCCCTGTATTTGGGCTGTTGCCTGCATTAGTCTACAGGGTGGAGGGAATTGCTGATTGTAGCATGGATCCGGGGCCGAGAGGGAGCCTTTGGGTACAGGATTGGACACTCCTAGAAGCTGGAGGTTTTAAGAGGGATTGTGAGGCAGGACTGCAGTTGGTCTCGCTCGGCTGTGGGAAGCTTTGTGGGGAGGTAGTACGCAGTGTGAAGTGTCTGTCAAGTCTTCCAGAGCATGTGACCTGCCCCTTATCTATGCTATTGCATTCCTACCTTAGTTGCCAATGATGACAGAGTTCATGCTCTTAACACCTGCATTATACTGTCCTCTCTTTATTTTTTATCCTCACCTGAGAGCATGTCCATTGATTTTAGAGAGGAGGGAAGGGAGGGGGAGAGAGAAACATCAGTGAGAAACATCAGTTGGTTGCCTCTCATACTTGCCCCAACTGGGGGCAGAACCTGCAACCTAGGCTTGTGCCCTGACCAGGAATCGAACCTGTGACCTTTTGGTTTACAGGATGATGCTTCAGCCATCTGAGCCACACCAGCCAATGCTATACTGCTCTGTTAGTAGGCTGTATATTCAAATGAAATACTGTTTAAGTGAGTGAAATTACACTTAGACTGATTAAATAATGCTGTAGTGTTCACATAGATTTTTTAAATTGATTTTTATATATAGAGAGAGACATCAGTTTGTTGTTCCATTTATTTACGCATTCACTGGTTAATTCTTTTTTTAAAAAAATATTTTATTTATTTATCTTTAGAGGGGAAGGGAAAGAGAGAGGGAGAGAAACATCAATGTATGGTTGCCTTTCGTGCGTCCCCTGCTGGGAACTGGCCTGCAGGGAACTGGTCTGCAACCCAGGCATGTGCCCTGACTGGGAATCGAACAGCGATTGTCTGGTTCGCAGGCCCGCACTCAATCCACTGAGCTACACCAGCCAGGGCTTCACTGGTTAATTCTTGTATGTGCCCTGACTGGAGATCGAACCCACAACCTTGGAATATGGGAATATCACTCTAACCAACTTGACCAGGGCTTTTTCATAGATATTTGGATTTGTAAGATTTCCATTCATTGATAAACTTAATAAGCAAAAGTATGCTAAACACTGTGTAGATAGGCTCTGTATTGCTAGTTGGGTTTATCATAAGTATATGAGTCTCTTGACCTTGCATTACTTTGTTCAACTTAAAGATAATTGACTGGTTTCGTTTTAAAATCATTTTGGACTCGTAACTACAGTTAGTATAGTTTTGTGGTTAAAAATGATACAAAGGATGTGCGTACAGTGAAAGGATATGTGCAGTGGAAGTTTCTCCCCTGTGCCGCTCTCCCCGCCCCAACATCTGTGCTGCGTGTATCCCTTCAAACGGAGTTCGCCTCTAGAGGATCATTGTATCCAAATCTATCTCCTTCCTTCCACGCAGGTGTGCAAATTGGAACCTTACCACACTGCACTTAGTGTGGATGTGGGTTTTTAGTTTTTTTAAAGATTTTATCCACTGTCAGAGACAGGAGAAGGGAGAAAGAGAAACTTTGATGTGTGAGGGAAACACTGATTGGTTGCCTCTTGCTCACCCCCAAACTGGGGAACTGGCCAGCAACCCTGGCATGTACCTTGACTGGGAATTGAACCTGTGACCTTTTGGGTCACAGGCCGTTTAAACTTTACCTTTGAGATTGTACCGTAATAGGTCACTGAGATTTATTGCTTTTCCCAAGATTGTTCTTTATAAATTGAGTGTGATTAGTTGTTAAAGTTGTTAATATTTTAGTTAATTAGTATGGTTTACGAAAGTGTGGGCTTAACAGTTAAAATGTTTTAAAATACATATTACAAGTGATAAGGAAAATAGATAACCATGTAACAGTTAAGGGCCTCATGAACTTGAAATTTCTAGGGCTTAAACATTTGTATTTTATTTTTTATTTATTAAAAAAATTTTTTAGAGAGAGGGGAAGCAGGGAGAGGGGGGGAGAGAAATATCAGTGTGAGAAAGAAACATTGATTGGTTGCCTCTTGTGGGGACTGAACCCACAGCTCAGGCATGTGCCCTCACCAGGAATCAGCTGGCTGCCCTTATTGGCTTTTCTGTATGACACCCAGCCATCTGAGTCACACCAGTCAGGACAAAAATTTGTATTTTAGTATGGGAAAACTACCATACTCACAGCTTAGTTCTGCAAAAACAATTTATGAATAAATATTCAGATATTCAAGAGCATTTTTTGTATTCGAGAGTTTTAAAGAGATCATAGAGTTTTAGAGTTGCAGTTTGACTCTATATATTGACTGGTAGAGATATCTAGATGGAGTTAAATACATGAACATTCTTTAAAGGAAAATCAGACATTTTTGGTATCTGAAGCATGCAGGGACATTTTTGCTAGCTTTTGGGGTGCATTTGACTGATATTAAGCACAAATCATTAAGCTTACTTAAAATATTCTAATTCAGTATAATTCTTAGGTATGAGAAAAGTTTTTTTTTTTTTTTTAAGATAGAATTTAATTTTAGACAGAGGGGAAGGAAAGGGGAGAAATATCAGTGTGTGGTTGCCTCTGTTATGCCCCAATTGGGGACCTGGCCTGCAACCCAAGCATGTGCCCTAGACTGGGAATTGAATGGGCGACCCTTTGGTTTGCAGGCTGGCACTCAACCACTGAACCACACCAGCCAGGGCAGCAAATAAGTTTTAAATGGTATAAGTGAATGTTCTTATTTTTAGAAGGCATGTGCTGAAATGATTGTGGTTGAAGTGTGTTTGCAACTTGCAAATGATTGAGCAAAACAAATTACAACTAATAGGACAGCATATACTCACTGTTGAGTTCATATTTAGATAAACTTTTATGCATCTTTACAATTTTCTGTAATAAAAACTTGGGATAGGGAAGCATACCCCTAAATATAATATAATTTTTATAATTTACTGACAAATTATACCCTGGTGTAGATAGCTTTTAATTTAGTCTGAAAACATTCTTCCTGTTGACCATTCTGTAATTGAAGCTACTTCCATGTAGTTTCTCTGTTGGAAGATAATTGGAGGAAAAAACGGTAAATTGCTTTTAAAATGAAGGCAAAAGTATGTTAAATTTCATTAAGATGTGAAATTTTGATAAATAACTTTTATTACTAATGTAATTTTCTTAAGTAAAGAGGTTCCTAATATGTAATACTTTGCTTAGTAAATAAAAAGTAAAAGGGATTGATTGGCATTTCAGTGTTTTGGTGGATAGAGATTAGTTTAAAAAAAAAGACATTTTATTTGGAATTGGGTAAAATCAGAGAAACTTCTCTCTTCTGCTTTTTTATTTAGAGGGGAAATATATAGTGAAATTTCCCAACTTACTTGAGATGGAAGGAGGTAGGATGTGGCAGCACTTATATTTTCAGGTTAGTGAATAGACGAAAAGATGTCAGGTCAACTAGTGGTTTGCAAACTGTAAGGATAATCTTTTGATCTACATTACTTATAGCTGGAAACTGTTACTTTATCCTGTTTAAACTATGGAAGGGATGAAATTCGATGACCTTTGTTTATGTGTGTGTATGTTTTCCATAGGATATAGTATCTGGGAGTTCATGTCTGCCAAAAAGCTGCTTAAATTATTCCATACAGGTCTGGCTTTTGAGGTATTAGCATTTTTTGGCCTTTATTGGCACTTTATTGCCAACTAAATAAATTCAAAACAGTGCTATTTTGTAATGGAAAATATGGGTAGTATACTTTAGAGCACAATATCAGGTGATAATCTTAATTAAATATTTATAAGATCATATTCATGTTAGTGAATTTCTAGGAATAACACAGCCTTTTTTCTTCTTTTGTAGCATAAGCAGTACTATAATGGATGTAGACAGCACAATTTCCAGTGGGCGTTCAACTCCAGCAATGATGAATGGACAAGGAAGCACTACTTCTTCAAGCAAAAATATTGCCTATAATTGTTGTTGGGACCAGTGCCAGGCTTGCTTCAACTCTAGTCCAGATCTGGCAGATCACATCCGTTCCATACATGTAGATGGTCAGCGAGGAGGGGTTGGTTTTATCATTTCTTTTTTTTACTCCCTGTTTTCATTAGTTTTATTAATTTATAATTGTTAGTTAGGCTTATTTTTTTCTCAAAGTAATTTGGGATTGTTTTTACACAGGCTTTATTTTTTCCAAATGTTTTTTCCCCCCTTTTATTTACAGATTTCCACATACTTGATAGAATCAAATTAAATAGAACATATGATGTGTTGGACTTTAATTTACTCTTAGGTATATTACTTTGAGGAAATAAGACTTTCTAAAATATAGTGGGAGTATGATAAATGAATACAGTGTATTCTAAGGTTCTGAGGTTTTGAGTTGAGGACATTTAGGAATTTGCACTGGTTAGGATTTCTGTTAGAGTAGTCCTACATTACCCCTGATGCTCAAATTAACTGGAGAGACTATTGGTAGCAGGATTAGTATATACGATCCTAATGACCTATAACCTTTCAGGAATACATTTAATAGTGTCAGTTCATATAGTTAGTGAATAAAGAGCTAAGCAAATTAGGTGAATCAGAGTGTAATGGACTAAGACATTTATAATATTATTTATAATAGTTATAATGTTTTCAACTTTATGTTTGTCCTGAACAGTTATCACGTTCATTACATTTTCCAAAAATTAATGTAACATTGTAAATACAGATAATTTATCAGGCCACACATTTCCCATCTCCCTGTCATCACTGTTTGAGATATACTGATACTAAAAAGGCTAAAATCATTAGGGTTTAAGAGAGTAGGCAACTGTTTCCAAGGTCATATTGATAATTAGATTGTACTGTTGATCTTTAAAAAACAAAACATGCAATCGTATAAGTACCCCTAACATTTTAATCCTTGGTATTGCATTTAAAATTTCTTTTTAAAAAGTATTTGCTGTTGTTACAAGATACTGTAATATGTCAGCAGTTTTTTGATTATTCAAGCTTGATAAGTAACATTTGTCTTATTATTAGATTCAATATATGTGATGTCTAGGTTGGTACCAGATGGTATATTAATGAATTGTGTCTATCATATGTTTTTTCACTATATAACCCATCCCAGTGGTTAGGCAATTTTGATAACACTTTCACTGCCTTCTAGTCAGGTTTTTGGTGTGAACTTAGTTAGCCATGTTGGTTCCCTGGTCGTTACTGAGTTGCCTTTTATGGGCCCGTATTTGACGCCACTTGTTACGTATCACTGTGGTAGTCTTTTGAGCCATGGCATGATGCTTGACTTAGCAGCTGTTTATTGAATTGTGAGCTATGTAGAATATCTCTGGTTTTTTCTTCAAAGGCATGGTACACTTTCACATTTGTAAGTTGTGGGTCCTACAGGTTGAGTTGGCACATAGCCTTAGGAGTATATTTTCAGCTCTTTATAGGTTTGTAGGAAAAAGTGGAGTTAACAGACTGAATGTAGCATATAATCACTGCAGCTACATGTACCTTACTGATAATACAGAGCTAGACTTTATGAACTTGTGGAAGTCAAAGCCCCCGTGTCATTTCTTGAACCTTTATTCATAACATCACTTTATTACAAATAATAGGGCTCTCTTAATTTTGAGAGTAATGCTGTTTTGACTACAGAAAGGGGTCCCCATTTTTGGAGGACATTGATCGAGAAATGCAAGATGTATTGGAGAAATGTAGAAAACACATCCCAAGTATTTCTCCATACCAATCATTGGTATATAGACTAAGCTTTCAGAATGCAAGTATGAATGAGGATTTGTTTTTTTTTTTATTTTTTTTTTTTTATTTTTTTTTTTCCCCCCCCCCCCCCCCCCCCCCCCCCCCCCTTCTTAAAACCTTTCCTCCCCTGGCGCGCTTTTTGCTTTTTTTTTTTTTGATGCTATATAGCACAGGAAATCTTTTTTTTTTTTTTTTAAGGAAATCTTGATCTGGTTTTGCGCTTTAAAATACAGTAGTTGTTGGTTGAAACTTTAAAAGAAAATATGGCCTCTTTAAAGTTTGGAACTTTATTTAGTTTATTTTTCTCTCTTTAAGACTTTTTATTGTTTTTTCTTGTTTTCATTATCATTTAGTCCCCTTAACCTCCCATATCCCCACCCCCACAGTTAGCACACTGTTGTCCATGTGCATGAGTCTCTTTTTCCTTTTTGCTCAATACTTCCACCCCCGCCCCTTAGCTGTCATCCTTCTGTCGATCTCTATTTTGCTTCTTCAGTTTGTCCATTAAACTGCTTTTAAGTGTACAGGTCAGTGGCATTAGTGTATTTTTACATTGTTGTGCAACCATCACCACTGCCCACCTCTAAAACTTCTTCATTATCCGAAACTGAAATCTGTGTGCATTGCGCAGGTGCCTCCTCCTCCTCCCTGCCCCCAGCCCTCGGTACCTGTGGCTCTGCTGTGTTTGTAGAAAACGACTATTCCAGATACTGCACATAAGTGGAAAACAGCAGATTTTGATGACATAATTATCTTTTTAGATTTTGAAATTTCTTTTTTCTACCCTAAGTGTTAAACTGTTGTCATGGAATAAAAGCAAATGAGGAAAAAAAGGTAACTGTAGAGGACTTGGTGCTTCTAATTATTGAAAGAGAAATAGTTTTATTGGAGCAGTAGTTAACAGTAATATAGTTAAGTACTATATTAATTCCTATTTTTTTCTCATCCCACTCTGATCTTCACCCTGAAAAAAACCAAAACCATCATGTAAGAGCATAAAAACTCCTTCAACTGTATGTTGCTATGTCATGTGGACTTCGTAGGCTAAAGTAGGTGGAGTTATGTTTTCCTAATCTTTTCCTGTATCAAAGTGGTTAGATACTTAACTCTACACTAAAAGTTATACTAACCACTTAAGCACGGAATTATGAATATACCTTTTTAAAAAATGATCTCGAGAGAGTTTTCTCCTATTTAAAAAATAAAACAGACCAAAAAAGTGAATCTTTTCTGTTAAGTGTAATAAAAGTTGTATTTTGGGGTCCTTACTTTCACATATGACTGCATTTCCAAAAGTAGACTGAGCTATTTTACTAATCAAATTTCAAACCCCAGTGTCCTGTTAACACACACCTAAGTTTTGGTAGATGGGGAGGAACTTTATCTTCTAGGATTTCAGTAGTTCAGTAAGATTCATTAGTCTTTTATTCTTTCTGTTTAAACTATTTGTTTAAAAACAGTTGCCAGAAAGACATATGTTTATGTTCCTTGATGCAACAGTTATTTTACACGTGCCATGTCATTACATTTACTCTTGTATATGTTCTTTAGTGTGTTTGAGGGGAGAGAGCCTGGGCGAGATTGAGGGTGGGGGAGTCGTAGGATATTCAAAGACATGAATGAGACCAGTTGACTTTACGTTGTACAAAATGACATACATGAACTCTCAAGGTTAAATCAGACTGCTGCTAGAAAATGAAATCAGTCTTAGGAGGTCACTTTGCCTTTTGATTGCCAAATAGTTAATTACTGTAGTATATGAAAAATATTTCATTACTGTAATTTGAGGTTTTTAAAAATTTTATGATTTTTAGAGAGAGGGATATCTTTTTGTATCATTTTATTTTCAAAGGAATTTAATTTATTAGTAAAACTAGCCCCTCCACCTCGAAATTTGGGCATTGTAACTTATATTGCTTCTGGACTCTGTATTTAGAATATATTTGGCTGATTTTTAATTTGCTAACAATCACAGTAATTTTCTTTATGCATACATAAACTGAGTCACATTGCACTGTATTTTCTGAAGGTAAAGCTCACCTATTCTGACAGTACTGAATTAGACTTTCTTATTTACTTTTAGAGAGAGGAGAAGGGAAGGAGAAAGAAAGGGAGAGAAAGAGCAATGTGTGAGAGAAACGTCGATAGGTTGCCTCTCACACGCCCCCGACAGGAGACCTGGCCCTCAGCCCAGGTGTGTGCCCCAACTGGGATTCAAACCAGCAACCTTTTGTTTCACAGGCCAGTGCTCAGTTCACTGAGCCACATCAGTTGAGGAGAGTACAGTTTCCTAGAGGAGTTCCCAACAAAAAGTATCCCTGTAACACTGAAATTGTTGACCTGCATATCTTACAAGTTAGGTCATTATATATTATAAGATTTTTTTGTAGTTTGAAAATACTCTTTCAATGATTGTGTAATATTTTTTAAAATTGTATTTGATTATGCTATCACAGTTGTCCTCATTTTGTCCCCTTTTGTCCCCCTCCACCCAGCACCATCCACTCCATCAGACAATCCCACACCATCGTTCATGTCCCTGGGTCACGTTTATACGTTCTTTGGCTACTCCATTTCCTATACTGTTTTTTTATATCCCTATGTCTATTCTGTAACTACATGTTTGTACTCACATTCATTCATTCATTCATTCTCATTCTCATTCATTCATTCAGAGAGGGGAAGGGAGGGAGAAAGAAGGAGAGAAACATCAACGTGTGGCTGTCTCTCCTGTGCCCCCTACTGGGAACCTGGCCTGCAAAACCTGGCCCGCAACCCAGGCATGTACCCTGACTGGGAATTGAACCAGTCCAGTGGCCCTTTGGTTCTCAAGTGGATTGAGGCTGGCACTCAATCCACTGCGCCAGGACTGTTTGTACTTACTAATCCTCTCACCTCTTTACCCATTTCCCCATACCTCCCTCCCATCTGGCAACATCAGAACGCTCTCTGTATCCATGATTCTGTCTCTGTTCTTCTTGTTTGCTTAGTTTAGCTTTTGATTCATTTGTTGATAGATAATTTATTGCCATTTCATTGCTCATAGTTTTGATCTTTTTCTTATATAAGTTCCTTTAACATTTCATATAATAATGGTTTGGTGATTATGAACTGCTTTAGTTTCTTCTTGTCTGGGAAGCTCTTCATCTGCCCTTTGATTCTAAATTATTGCTTTGCTGGGTAGAGCAGTCTTGGATGTAGTTCCTTGCCTTTCATTGCTTTGAGTACTTGTTGCCAGTCCCTTCTTGCCTGCAAAGTTTCTTTTGAGAAATCAGCTGATAGGAATCAGTTTCTTTTGAGAAAGTTTCTTTTGAGAAATCAGTATATGGGAACTCCCCTGTAGGTAACTAACGGCTTTTCTCTTGCTGCTTTTAAGATTCTTTCTTAATCTTTAAACGTGGGCATTTTAATTATGATGTGTGTTTGCGTGGGCCTCTTAGTATCCATCTTGTTTGGGACTCTGTGCTTCCTGGACTTGTATGTCTGTTTCCTTTACCAAATTAGGGAAGTTTTCTCTCATTATTTTTTCAAATAGATTTCCAATTACTTGCTCTTTCTCTTCTCCACTTTTCGCAGAGGCTGTTTGTACTATCCCCATTTTTTGTTTTTTGGATTTTTTTCTTGTTCTGATGGGTTATTTTTTGCTTCCTTATTTCCCAAATCATTGATTTGATTCTTTGCTTCATCCTCTCTACTGTTGTTTCCCTGTAAATTGTTACTTCTCTTAGTGTATCCTTCATTTCTGACTGGATGTTTTTCATGCTGTTGAGGTCCTCAGTTGGAGGACCGAGCATCCTTGAGCATCAGTGTACTTGAGCATCAGTATAACCAGTGTTTCGAACTCTGCATCTGATAGATGGCTTCTCTCCATTTTGTTTAGCCTTTTTTCTGGAGGCTATAAATGAAATGTTCTTTCATTTGGGTATTGTTTCTTTCTTTTTTTTTTTTTTTTAACTCCCTCCCTTAGTGGCAGATAAATCTGGTGGTGGTTATTTTGAGAAGGGTGTCCAATATCTAATACAAACACAGTTTTTCTGTCAATCGGTCTTGCTTAGAGAATATATATCATTTTGCATTTTTATCATGTTTTGGAGTTACCAAATGTGTGCTCACAGTGTCTGTGTGACTCTCCCAGTGTTACATAGCTGGGAAGTGTGAAAGCTGGATAGAATTTAGTTATTTACTTTTCTTCTTTCTGTTTCTGTAACATCTAATACAACCCAATTAACATAAGTCTATTGTGAGAGCCTGGGCTAGGAACCTCTATACCTTGATATTCTAATTAGTATAGATAAATTTCAGTTCACTTTAACATAGTATAGGGGAACCATGCGAGATTTTATTTTTGAACAATTCTTCTCATATTTGGGCTTCCTATGGTGTTTGGTTTTCAGAGTGTATTTTACAATGAGAAAGTTTCTAAAAATTAGGGTATAAAAATGTTTTTCATGTACTGGCATCAAAAAAGACTGAGGCTTGAATAAAAATCTTTTTGTCAAATTTTGTACTACCTGTTTTAGCAAAGGGTTTTTCTAATATGTATTAGGAAAGAAAATTTAGGTTTAAAAATTTTGTGGTTTTTGTGTATCCTTGATGTGGATTCTTAGTGCCATTTTGTGTATGAGAACTGTCCTCGTGCAAGTTTATTTCTTCCTCCTCCTTTCTTCTAATTATTTTTCAAGTATTTCACCGAAATATGACTAACCATAGTTAGCGTTAGTCTTTTTACACTTATTTCATTTCCTAAAATGTTCAGTAAGTTGAAGGTTATGGTTTTTCTTTGAACCTGAAGTTGTTGCCCTAATAGTGTTACTAAACATTATTCCATCTAGAATCTGGATGATACCTACTCACAATTAAGGCTATTATCTGATGAAATTACCGGATCTGCCATTGCCTCCATATTATGTTTTTTCTTAGGAGATTTATGGTTTCTCTCAAATGCAGTGGTTGGGAAATACTAGGTTAGTGCAGTTTGAGTATTTTTCTGATTTTTTTTGGAGGATATTGTAATTCAGCACAGGGGTCACTTAAGAGTTGTAGCAACAGAATTCTATAAAAGTTATTCTATAAATTATGTTAATTTTGTTTCCAAATACTTGTTTTAAGGCATTTTTGTTTTGTGGGTATAACTTGTGAGCATTTTAAACCAAGCTCTGATTTCTGTTTATTACTGGATGGAAAATTTAAGACTTTGAGAGTCTAGTAAGTCATGAGTCAGAAAATTGATAGATAGCATTGATTATTTGCATGTGATCATCAAATGTTATTGAATTAATTTCCTTAACATACAGGTGTAGCTTCACAGTTTTCCTCCCTTAGTTCATTTAAAAAGTAACCTAATTCTGGCAACTTCAGGAATTATTTTTTTAAACATGTACTAGGTCAGGAATTTTAAGTTATGAAGGAAGATACATTAATGACTTTTATATCTGCTTAACTTAAACTAGCAAATGTGTTGTGGAACAGGATATGTGAGAACTTTCTCTAAATAGTCACATCAGTCAGCAACAGTAATAGCAGTGTTGCCTGTTTAGACCTATCTGATGTAAAATGGTTTTTTTTTTTAATAAAAACTGATCTTAGTTTTTTTAGATCATTGATTTTTCTTGACTTTAAGAAAATTTATTTTAAACTGACATTAATGATTTTTTCCTCAGTTCTGTATGTCTCGTCTCTGTTCTATAATATAGTTAATACATTAAAGTCTTCAAAGTGTGGCTCCATTTATAATGATTCTTATCCCAGAGAAGAAAAGAGTGTAGAAATCCCACTTTGAAGGTGATGATTACAGTAGATTAATATTTCTATTGCTGATGTTGGCAGTCCATTTTAATGTTCAGCTTGATGGAAATATAATCAGTTAGGAAATTGATATCTCACTTGTAGGAAAATGATGAAAGATTAGGTTATTAGTTGACAGACTTGTGCTTTTCCAAACCCAGTCATAGTTGCCTGAACCCAAGAATGTATGTCTATTATAATGATAGAGTACCTCATTCCCATTGCTTTTGTAATTATATTAATTTGACTTTTTGCATTAGATTTTGGTTTCTATTGAAGGTGTTTGAAAATAATTTCTAATGAATAGAATAATGTAAGAATAAGTAGTGTGCACGTGAGAATAGGAATTCAGGAGCAGGGGAATTGTGATTTGATAGTTTAATTGCATTACTTATTCTTTTAGAATGAAAGTATCAGTATCCACTAATTAACATTTATTAGTTCCTTATTGAGGACATGGACAGCAGCCTTAAAGGGGAAGGGTTAAAATATCCTCTCATACTGGAAGTTCAGAAAGTTTAACATTAAGCATTTGATTGACTTATACATTAAATGGCTCTTTTTGCCAATTGAAGACTAGCAACATGTTCATTTGAGTTTCAAGGAATAAAACTTTGTTGAAATAAGTAATGGAAATTATTATGGCTCTTCTTTTAACAGGTATTTGTTTGCTTATGGAAAGGTTGTAAAGTATATAACACACCGTCAACCAGTCAGAGTTGGTTACAGAGGCATATGCTGACGCACAGTGGAGACAAACCTTTCAAGGTAAGTACACGTATGTGATTTTTAAATTTCAACTTGAAGTTTCTTAATGGGCATACTTTTGCCTTTCTAAAACATTTTAAAAGAACCGTTTTGTTTTAATGTTCCAGTAGATACATGGAATTTTAAAAAACAGATGGGAGAAAGAAGATGTAATATAATTATTAAAATTTGGAGAACAGAAAAAATGTCTCTGAGGGTAGGGCCTTGAAAATAGTGCACAGAAGAAAGACTTGAATGCACGTGTTAATGTGGTTGCTTGGTATCAGTACCTGTGCTCTGATTGTTCTCTCACTGTTACTGGTTTCAGCCTTTTTTATTAGCCAACAATGATTATTACATAAAAAATGTAATTGTAGAACATAAAGGGACTTGAATCCATTCAATTTTGAAGTCATGCACTGAACTTAGTTGTAAATTACTGTCCAATAGATGTATTGAGAAAAATCGGTGTGAAGAGCAATCTTTATAAAAACATTTTCCTGTTTATCTTCATTAAAAATTAAACAAAATATTTGGTTTGTAATTATGGAAAGCGTACAGACTTGAAGTTCAAAGAAGTTTAATGGTTTTTAAATCCATGATGTCTGCTGCTATGAAAATACTGCCCCAGAAACTTTTCTTGAGTTTCATTAGAAAGGAGATAATTCTTGAGAAGTTACTTTTGGAAAAAAAAAATTTTTTTTGAAAAGACAATTTTTAACAATGTATGAAGAGCCCTGGCTTCTGTGGCTCAGTGGATTAAGTGCTGGCTTGTGAACCACAGGCTTGCCCAGTCAATTTGCAGTGCAGTGCAGTACACGTGCCTGGGTTGACAGCCAGGTCCTGGGGCAGGGCGGGCATGAGAGGCAACCACACATTGATGTTTCTGTCCCTCTCTTTTGACCCTCCCTTAACCCCTCTCTAAAAAATAAATAAATGAAATCTTAAAAAAAAAAACATAAAATTCATGACTGCATGACTTAGTTTGGAGTATTGTTCTGGGCACTGAAAGGTTGCTTGTTCGATTCCCATTCAGGGCACATGCCTAGGTTGTGGGTTGGATCCCTAATTAGCACATGGACAGGAGGCAGCCAGTCAGTGTTTCCCTCCCTCCTTCTCTCCCTCCACAATTGGACACGTGTCCTCAGATGTAGGTGTAAAAAAATGTATAAAGAAATAATTCACACTTAAAACCTTTTTCTTTTTTTGTTCCCTATCCCTTCTCTTACAAATAACTGTTATTAGTTTCTAGTGAGTTGTTCTTGCATTTCTTCAGGAAACTACAGGCAGTAGGCCTGTAATCTCATTCTTCTTCCTTTCTATCACAGGATTTGGTAAACTGTATACTGTCTGTACTTTTTAAAATAAGCTTTTTATTTTCAAGCAGTTCTAAGTTTACATAAATATCACAAAGGTTGTAGTTGTTCAAAATATACAACAAGTTTTCCCCATTACTAACATTTTTATTGGGTGTATATGTACCTTGCTTTTTTAAAAACTGCATTTTATACTAGAGACGTTTCTGTATTTGCTCATAGAGAATATTCTTTTTTTCTTTTTTCAACAGTTTTCATAGTATTTCATTGTATGTGTCTCTGGCAGTTTATTTAACCAGACTTATAGGTTGTTTCTAGTCCTGCTGTTAATAGTACTGTAGTGATGAGTCTTTAACGTGTCATTTTACGTATTTATGCTTATATATGGAGGAAAAATTTCCCAAAATGATATGAGTGGGTGGATCAAAGGCTATATAAAAGCATTGCTAATTAACAAAATTACAAAAATATTAATTAGCAAGAGAGAAAGAGAGACAGACTTATTGTTCCACTTACTTATGCATTCATTGGTTGATTCTTGTATGTGTCCTGACTGGGGATCCAACTCACAAATTCGGTGTAAGGGGATGGCAGTCTAACCAAGTGAGCTACCTGGCCAGGGTGAGCATTGGTGATCGTGACTGATACTGCTGCATTGTCCTCCCTGGGCCTTGTGCCCGCATCCGCAGTGTTAGAGCAGCTGCCTGCTCCGTAGCCTTCCTAACAGGGTACTACTGTCAAGCTTTTGGATTTTTGCCAATCTAATACATGAGAAATTGTTTCCTCATGTACTTTTAATTTGCTTTCCTTTGGTTATGAGTGATGTTGGACATCTTTTCATACGGATTTTTCTTCTCACTTGGATTCCTTTTTCTCTGTGTTTTTAAAACACCAATGGTCTCATGAGCTTTCTGCTGACATGTCAGTCCTGTAACTTTAACACCGTAGTTTTTCCTATAGACATACTACAGATCATGTGACCTGGTACAGACTTTTAAACTTTTTTCTAGTGGGTATATAATATGTAATAATACTTCATAGAGTTGGATACTGTATGTATCCAGTAAATGTAAGAAGTTATATTTGAAGTAAAAGAATAATTTACTTTCTTATATTGTGAATTTTTATACATTTTTCTTCAAGGTAGCAGTTTATTGCTGGTTGATTATAATGTGCAGGTTAATTTCAGAGTCCATACAAATGAGTTTTTCTTCAAAACCTCTTTTAGGAAACTATAGATGATTCCCATTGGAAAGGGGGAAAGAAATTGTTGCATAAGAAAGGCAGGCCTGTGCTCTTTTAGGAACTTAGATTGTTTAGGTTTATATAAATCTAAACAGATTTGAGTAATGAAAGTTTTAAGTGGATTTTTTAAAAAAGTTTTAAAAAGATTTCATTTATTTTTAGAAGGGAAAGGAGGAAGAGAGGGAGAGAGACATCAATGTGTGGTTGCTTCTTGTGTGCCCCCCACCAGGGACCTGGCCCACAACCCTGGCAGGTGCCCTGACTGGGAATCGAATTGGTGACCCTTTGGTTTGCAGGTAGGCACTCAATCTACAGAGTGACATCAGCCAGGGCTATTTTAAGTATTTTAAAAGTGACCTACGAAAGAATCTCTGGAAACATGGATTAGAGATCAATTAAATGTACACTTGACCCTTGAACAACACAAGAGCTGATACCTGTGCATTAGATACTCTTTGTATAACTGTTGACTTGGTCAAACCTTAACTGTAGTCAGCTCTCAGTTTCTGGGGGAGATTGATTCCAGGACCCCTAAGAATAGGAAAATGTGTAGATGTTCCAGTCCCGGGTGTAAAATGGCGTCCAGTGGTGCTTATAGTCTGCCTGGCCTTCCATATCCACATCCATGGACTTCCAACAGTGATCGAAAATACTGCTTTTGCTCTGCAATTGGTTGAATCTGTGGCTGCAAAACCCACAGATACAGAAGCCTGGCTGTGTTTATTGAAGAAATCTTTGTATAAGTGGACCTGCACAGTTTAGAACCATTTTGTTCAAGGGTTATTATACTGTATAATAGGAGCCGGGAAAGAGGAGAAGTTGCCTGTAGTTGACTGTACGTGTAGAGGGGAATGATGAGTTGATGATATTTTGGGGTGAGTCTCTCATTTGAAGGGGGAACAAAAACCCCCAAATTTTTTCCAAAAAATAGGCTTATTCCAAAACATCACCACCATATCACCTTAAAGTACAGTTAAGTGTTCAACAATTTAGAGATTTGTTTTCTGTGTATATACCTGTATAACCACTACTTTGATGAAGAATATTTTCAGTAAACAAAATTTCCAACGTCCCTTTCCAGTTTATCCCTTGCCAGTCCTCTTCTTCACCGTCCAGGCCATTTTATGATTTTTGTCATCCTGGCTTAATTGAATCAACCTTTGTGTCTGGCTTTTTTTCACCTAAGAAAATAGCAGTGAGATTTTCCTTGTTGTAGGTACCAGTCATCTTTTAAAAATTGATGTGTAGTATTTGATTGTACAGATAAATCATACATTATCCATTCGCTCGTGCTGGTGGACATTTGGGTTGTTTCCAGTCTTTAGCTACTGTTAATAAGGTGCCTTGTGGTCATTCTTCTACATGTCTTTTGACTGCATACATGCATTCATTTCTCTTGGCTGTATACCTGTGAGTGGAATTGCTGAGTCCTAGAATAGGGCATTTTTAGCTTTTAGAATGTGCCAAACCCATCTTCAAATTGGTCATATTATTTCACATTCCCACCAGCAGCAAATGAGAGTTTTAGTTGCTCTGTATCTTGATAGTATCAGTCTTTTTAATTTTAGCCATTCTGGTTGTTGTGTGGTGTTACCTCATCGTGGCTTTAATTTTTGTTTCCCTGGTGAGTTCTGAGCACATTCTCATGTACTTAATGGCTATTTGGATGTCCTATTTTGGTGAAGTGCCTATTCAAGCCTTTTATTATTTTAGTGAATGGTTTGTCTTTTTGTTATATAACTTTTTAATATTTTGGGAATAAGTTCTTTGTCAGATATGTGTATTGCAAGTACATTTTTCCAGTCTGTTTTTGGTTCTTTTTACCTTTCCTAATGGGGTCTTCTCATGAATAGCTTTTAATTTTAGTGAAGTTTAATTTATCAACTTTTTTATGATTAGTTTTTTTGTTATTCTCTTAAAAATTTATGCCTGCCCTCAGTATGTAAGCATCTATCTTACAAGAAAGCCAAGAATTTTGTTTTCTGGCATTAGATCATTTCAGGCATCTATAAGTATATGTATTTTAAATATAATTTACATAACAAAGTTTACCAACTGTACAATTCAGTATTTTGTAGTGTATTCACAGGAATATACACATATGACCACTATCTAAAACTGAAATAATGTGCTTTTGAGAAAAAGAAAAGAAAGCATAAAAGAATAGAATAAGTGGACAATTTGGGTAATAGCATGTAGTTTCAGAAATATATGTGAAACTCAGTCCACTGAGCCACTGCAGCTAGAGCGTTTTTTTTTTTAATGCACACTGATGTGACAGGTGACACAAAACAATCTAATAAAATTGTTTCAAATGAAATGAAAGACAACTATGGGAGAGACAACTGTCTTATGGGAAAAAATGAAGCTTTTGGGGCAACCCAATACATCTCTCCATCTGTCTTCCGCCATCTCTTCTCCTTTCTTTTACCTACCAGTACAGTACGCGCACGCACACGCACACTCTCTCTCTCTCTCTCTCTCTCTCTCTCTCTCTCTCTCTCTCTCTGTGTTTGAGAGGAGCACTGTACCTAAATACTAAATTCAGTGTGTGTATTTCCCAAGAACAAGGACATTTATTTACACAGCTTTAGTACCATTGTCGACATCCAGAAACTTGATGTTATTAGCTATTCAGATTTCATAAATTGTCTCAATAATAGTTTTTATTATTTGGATTCCAAATGAGGATCACGCATAGTTTTTATGACTCCTTTAATCTTAAAGTTTCTTCAGCCTTTCTTTATCATTCATGGTACTGATGTTTTTGAAGAATTTCAACCTTTTATTTTGCAGTATGTCCCCCATTTTGGGGTTGTTTGGTGATTTTGTAATGACCAGATTTCAGTTTAGGCATTTTTGCAGAAAACAACAAAATTCTCACTCTTCTGAGGATAGTTGGTGACGGTTTGTTTCCTCTTATGTAGTTCTTAGCATCGTTTGGTTTAGGTGGAATTTGCTGCGTTCTCTACTGTAAACTTATTATTTGTCCCTCTATAATGGATGGTTATTGAAGAGATAACTTTGCACCTACATAAATATATGTTACCCATTAGAATCAGTTTTAGTCTCTGTTGATGATTCTTGCCTGGATCAGTTATTACTGTGGGGTTTAAATGAGTATTTTTCCATTTTCCCATCTAAATTTGCTAGTTGGTATTCTTACATAGCAGTCTGTTCTTTGCCTAATCTTTGGCTTATAATCCATGATTGTCATTATGTTGCTGCTTACATAATACAGACTTTTATATATTGAATTGATTAGTTTTTGCTCATGCAGCTTCTGGGACAACTGGTTAAAGATTTGAGTGGTTAAGGGTCTCCATTAGAGTTTTGGTAGTGACACAGGCTAGAAACCCAAAGTCAGTAAGACCTAGTTAACTCCATGTAGGAAATGAACGCAGTGGGTGTTATTTAGGTTTAAGCTTAGTTTTATGGTCCCCAAACTTACTTGTCTTATACTTAATGATAAGAAGGTAGGTAGTGTCATGAAAATAATGTCAGCTCATTATGAAGTTTTAGTTTTGTAATATCATACACACTCCTAAAATGCAAATACAGTTTCTTTGCCAAGGGTTTGTAATATTTGCCCATGATAATTAAAGTACAGAGATTATTCCAAGATACGCCCTCTCCCCCACCTAGCATTAACTTCGTCATGTATCTCCACCTCTGCTTTGGGTGTAGACTTAGAGTTTGAGGGGGTTGCTATCATTTCGTTAAACATAGTAAAACATAATATGTGTTGATAGTCCTAGGATCTGGGGATTTTTTTAAACTATTCTCTTGGTCCTGTGTGTGTGTGTTTGTGTGTGTGTGTGGTTTTGATTCTTCTTAGTCATCAGATACTAAGCTTTATCACAGCTAAGTGGTTTCAGCCTGACCTTGCTTACAAATATTTTACTTAACTGAAAAAAAAAAATAGCTCTATACAGCATGTTCGGAGATTGTTTCCCTTTTTCTTTATTGCCAATGTAGCAGTGGTTTGTCTGGGTAAATTTGTATTTATATCTTTGAAATTGTGTGGTACTTTTCGGATAAGTTCACTCTCTTCACATGTTTCTCCCCTGCTTTAATTATTTCTGTTACTTTGAACACAATATTTATAATTATTTAATTGTCGTGGGTGAATTTATTAATTGTAACCTTTCCTCAGGAACTAGTCTTCTGTAGCTCAACATGATAGATTTCTTCCCTAATACTGACATTGGAATACCTTCTCATTATGATAGAGTAGCACTTGAGAAACTCAGGCTTTCTTTTAAGTCTGAAACAGCCAATCTTTTTAGGTATTTTGGAACCAAGAACCTAGCTTAAAAGGTTGATTACGGGAAAAGAAGTTTTATCGATCCAGACTTAAACTGTTGTATCCCCTTTATAAGGTGGCTTCTAGTTGTGCATACAGGCAAATTCTGGTGATTTGTTACAGGGCACAGTGAGTGATTATATCATTCATTGTGATGAGCAATTATATAATTTCCTCTTTCAGTTCTTTTATGATCTGTTTTATAATGGTAGTTGATAATTCTAATTTAAAAATATTTTACTCTTTTCAATTTTATTGAGGTACAATTGACAAAATGGTAAGACTCTTAAAGTATACTGTGATTTGATATGTGTGTGCAGTTGTCAAAGGATTCTCTTTATCTACTTAATTAACAATCCATCATCTTACACACATACACACAGTGAGAATCTTCGGCTTTTCAACAAACATTCTCTGTAATAATACAAAGCTTTAAACACCCTGTTCTGCTGTCTTTCATTAACTCTTCTTTGCCATTTGTATATCTGTCTATCTGTGTTTGAAGCTCCATGTTGCCCAGCTCTGACGGCCAGTTTCTAGGAAGCTCCCATTCACTGAAGGGTACACTCTGAATACAAGTAAGGATAACAGCTGCAATGATCAGTGTGATACAAAAACAAAAAATGATTCCTTCCACCCCCAAAGAAAGAAAATGAAATGGTCCCTGTTGGAGAATAGTAGGGTTTCATTATATGGAAAGAATAAGAATCAAGAGGTTCTTCCTTTACTGTATAAACTGTCTCACTATATATCCAAATCCTGATGTCTGAGTTGCACCCATGAACAATTAAATGAGAATCTCTGGGGTGTGTTGCCTTTATTTAAAAAGATCTTTCAGATGATTTTAATGTGCACCCAGGCTTAAGAAACTCTGTTCTATGAGATATTTTTCTCTTTTTAAAAAAGATTTTATTTATTTTTAGAAGGAAAGGGATGGGGAAAGAGGAAGATAAACATCAGTGTGCAAGAGATTGATCATTTGCTTCTTGCATGCCCCCAACTGGGGAACCTGGCCAGAAACCCAGGCATGTGCCTTGACTGGGAGTCAAAGCAGAGAGCTTTCAGTCCACAGGCAGGTGCCCAGTCTACTGATCCACACCAGCCAGGGTTGAGATATGTCTCTTAACGGGGAAGACCTCATAAGAGAGATACCACTTATTATAGCACTGGGTCACCCAGTGATACAATAACTATGACTAAACATTTTGCTGGTAAATGCAGTTACCAATTCAGTGCTCTTTCAGTGGGAAAAATGCATAGAGGAAGAAAGGTCTAGGCTGTGTTTACTGTGTGCATGTTGCATGTGGGATTTTTATTGACTTACACTTTATTCTCCAGGCCTCCTTGATGCCACATTTGTTTTTCCCGCCACCCCTTCTTCCAAACTTGCTGACTGCTCCTTCTAGTCTATTTTTGCAGGCCTGTGCTCTCTGACTTCTGCATGTTAGACAGTGATCTCTTAAAATTTCTCACCCTAGGTGTTCTCATCTAGTCCTTTGGCTTTAAATACTGTTCATGGTGTGATTTCTCTTAGATGTGTATCTCTAGCCCTAAATTTCCTTGGATTCCAGAATAGGGTATTTACCTTGCAGGTCTAATAGAACATTTTTAACTAATAAACTTGTACAAAACCTTGGTTTTTCATTTCAAACATGGTTCTACTTGAGATTGTGTAAGTAGTGACATCATCCATCCAGTTACTATAGCTTTAAGAGCCCTGCATTACTTTAGATTCCTTTCTTAGCTTTACCTGTATTCCCCCTAAATGCAGTAGCAAATCCTGTCAGTTTGATCTTCAGTATAATTTGAATACCACTACTTCTCACCCTACTCTTTTATTCCTGTTCATCTGTTTGTTAGTTGCTCTGCTATTGGAAATTCTTGGTAACTCCTTACTTACTCCAAATTAAAATTCACATTTCTTAGCATGGTGCATAGTAAGGTCTTCATATGTGATATTTACCTGCTTCTCTGTTCTCATTTGTTCCCTTATTAATAGTACCTTCATAGGAAATTGTGATTCAGCCATACTATACCATTTACAGTTCTCAGATGGATCACACTTTATTATCATTGAGGTTTAGTATAGGCTGCACTTCCTACCTGGAGTTCTAGAAGGCTTTTTACTTTGGAAGATTGATAGACTTTTGGAAAATTGTTAAATATACAGACAAGTTTGAAAGTTGTAACATTTATGGACAAGGTGCAGACAGTGCCCCCCACCCTCCGTATCTTCACCCAGTTCGTTCCCTTCATGTTATTGTCTCATGTTACTGTGGTTCATTTGTCAAAACTAAGAAGCCAACATTTCTACCTGGAATATTTGTTTTCCTTTAGTGCTCCTCTTTAAAAAATGTGTTTCATTCAAAACCAGATTTTTGGGGAAAAAGATTCCAGTATGTTTGTCTTGAATATCAGAGGGAAGAGCAGTAAACTGGGGAGACTTGGAACTTAAGTTTTATTTTCAGCTGCACCACCACTTAATGTGCATTACTTTGGGCAACTTATAAAATGAAAGGGTTCTGAAATCAGTTCTATAGCATTACCGATTTACTTTTGAAAAAAAATTTCACTCACTCATATTGTGCTTGTTTCCTACTTAGCATCCCTGACATCCTCTTTTTACTTTTATTTAGTGTGTTGTTGGTGGCTGCAACGCCAGCTTTGCTTCTCAGGGAGGGCTAGCTCGCCACGTACCCACACACTTCAGTCAGCAGAACTCCTCAAAAGTTTCTAGCCAGCCAAAGGCCAAAGAAGAATCCCCTTCTAAGGCTGGAATGAACAAAAGGAGGAAATTAAAGAACAAAAGACGACGCTCATTACGTAAGTGTTTCTTTGAAAACCTGTGTATTACGATGCTTCTGTTTATATCTCGGGCTTTTATGCAGGTTCAGTTTTTACTGTTCTTCCACTCAGCTTATCTGTTTTCGTTAACGGTAACAAACAGGATGCCTGTAGGACAGTATGAGAATTCAGGGATGAAGTTTTATCTGTAGTAGCTTAAGAGAGTGTGAGTATATATGGCCTTGGAACACAAACTGCATAGAATTAGATTTTGAGGGCTACTTTGATTTCATCTTAAACTAAGAAAATTTAAAACATGGCAGTGTTGGTGTTTCTGACAGTATTTTAAAGAAATTGAGCATGCTAAAGGTAAAAATGAAGTCTGCTCTAAGGTGATGTGTGTGTGAATAGCAAAATTACTTGCAGTCTGCGTTTTAGTACTTAACAGTATTTTGTAACAAACAGTTGTTACGTTGCTTAATTACCAGGTTACGAGGCGTGTCCTTGATAATTAGGATAGAACACAGTTAGATAATAAGACTTGTAAATGTTGGGAGCAGGAACTGACTTTGAAACCCCAGAGCCTAGCACTGTGCCTGGTTCTGAAGGTCGACTAGCTGGTGAATTATACCTTGAATGAAGAAATATGATTGAGTGAAGCTGTCATTGAAAAGGGAGGCCACTGCAAGAGTGAACCAGAAAGGGAAAAAAATCGCATCCTACTTTTTCTTTTGGGATTTGAGTAGCTTGTAGAAGAGACTCCAGACACTAATCCACAATGTAAAGGAGACAGTTATGTCTAAAACATTGCAATTTTTTTGTTACTGCAAAGCTACAATGGACAAATGAACAAACCACATGTGGGGAAAAAAAAAAACCTCTCCTAAACACTCTTAAGTTTCTTTCTTGTTGTTGAAATCAAACATTTAATTTTCAAAGTTGGCTATACTGAATTTAGGTTGTGGATCCATTTCCCTTTTGACTGTGCGGCTCATTGGCTAAAAAAAAATGGTTGGGCACCCAGTTCTAACATAGGTGTGTAGTGTATACGGGTAATGTTGTTAATGCACATTATCAAACAGTCACCAAGAGCAGCTGCTGGTAATGTCGAGTTGGTGGCACTGTTTCTTCCCTTAATCTAATGGGTCGTGACGCCTGCTTTGGGGACTGTTGTTCAAGTTTCAAATTCTTCATGTTTTAATGGTGGATATTAGCATGGTTAAGGTCAGAGTAGAATAGAATCTACTGTTTGAGGGCGTCTTTTCATTATTGTGAACTTAATTCTAGTGATAACATTTGTGTTTGAATCTTGAGAGTAGTTATTTTTATTTTTTCTAAGTGCTTATACTTCTCAGAAAAAAGGCGTATTTGGAGAGCATGGAGAAAGTACACTTTCCCCCCAGTAGTCACAGATCTAATAGGAAGGGAATTTGATTCTCGGCATTAGGTAAAATCATGATTTTTTTCTCCTGTGGTTTTTTTTTTCCCCCTTTTACTAGTTGGTATTTTGCTTATTTCTTTCTGAGAAAAAAATGATAATAGAGGTATCGAAGTTATTTTGTATATGCCAACTTGTGAAATCATCTCCCCACAACCGCTCTGGTGGATTTGTGCAGGTATTCTGACAACTCCGTGAATGGAGGAGGTGAATTCATTCCACATGGTGGTAAATCAGAGTAGTGCGGCAGATCAGCAACAAGTAATTCAGAATGTGCTGTACCAGGAAATGAAGCCTTTTCTTCTGTTGTCAGTAAAAATTAATTTCAATTACAGATGATGTTATAAAATTATATGTATTAATAAGCTCCGCAGTTATAAAACAGTGGATTTATTTTTCTTATTTTGGGCAGTGTTTCAGTGAAGAACAAAAATGACACAGTTTATGATAATATTAGTGGGATTAAAATATAAAAAATGTTCTTACCAAATTAAATCTTCAGTGTGTAACTTTGTTGTGATTACACTAAGGGATTGCCTACTCTAGGTTTGTGAATTTATTATTTTTTAATAAGCGGTATACGCTTACTAATATAAACTGCTTTATGACTTAAATGGGGAACTTTTATAGGCATTTATTTTACTTCATCATAATCTATAGATGTTTTATCTCCATTTCACGAAAAAGGAAATATGATAAGGTAGATTGAAGCAATTTGCCCAAAATTACATAGCTGATACTGGAGGAACTGAATCAGAAAGGATTTTGATGAACTCATTGATGTTCAAAAATGTATTTATCATTTTCTTAGATTGTTTTTAGAAGTTATTTATAATCAAGAAAATACTTGCAAAAGCCCCAAATAATATTACCACTGTCGAATTTGGAAAAATTTTGATTACGTGTTAATATAGAATGTTCATGAAGTGGGTTCCATATGTTTTGTTGCGGTGAATGAGATCTCAGTGTGGTGCGCAAATGGAAATGGTTATCCGGTTGGTGAAAATGCAGTGTGTTGCTTAGGAGAGGTAATGGAATAACATATAAAACTACAAAAATGATAGCAGCTGAAGTGTGGAGTCAGTCATAAGGTCTGAAGGTAGAACCTTACTCACCAAGGGGCCACATTAACCCACATTCTTTCATTAGTTGGAATTTACCTTTTGTACATTCTTAATTTTGTCAGCTGGACTCTGTGTTTTCGAAAGCAAAGAAAATTTTGGATTTTAGCAGATTGATAGTTGATAATTATTTGTCTTTCTTACTACACATATTTTTGTGGAAAATGTACTATGCAGCTGTTTGGCAGACCGTTATATTTATTTGAATATTCTTTATTTCTTTTGTATCTCTAGCACGACCGCACGATTTCTTCGATGCACAAACACTGGATGCGATAAGACATCGAGCCATATGCTTTAACCTTTCAGCCCATATAGAAAGTTTAGGGAAGGGGCACAGTGTCGTTTTTCATAGTACTGTGAGTATTTGATTTCTTTTTTCAGATTATCTGTATACATTTTTGGAAATGTATATCTTGACTTTCATAATCATACTTCTAAATTGCTCAAAATCAAAGAACATACAGTCTAACAAAAAGACAGCCTTTTACTTTTTCGGTGTTTTAAAACTTACGGTGTATTACTGGTTATAAAGCAAATATTTCCCACAGTTGGATATTTTTATGATTAATTGAATGTATTTTCAAATAAGCTTAGAGTCCTTTTTATTTTTATACTTTAGTTTTAATGTTTTCCGGGTGACACTGGTTAACAAAATTACATAGGTTTCAGGGCACAGTTCTACAACACATCATCTGTACACCGTACTGTGTTTTCACCGCCCCAAGTCAGGTTTCTGTCTTCACCATTGATCTCCTCTTTATCATCCTTTACCTACCCCTCAACCCCTGGCAGTAACCACAAAATTGGAATATTTTAGCCTTTAATTTGAGCTATTTGGGATTATTAGTTTGGCAGTTGGGCCATTAGGCATAGGTGGTGTCTTTTTTTTTTGACCTGGTTTCCTTGTTTGTAGAATTAGAACATTAGGTGCCTTTTAGCCCCATGTGCTGCATGTGCCTTCCAACAGAAATAAGATCATGGCTCTCAAATTAAAGCTTCGTGAAGGAGGGACTTCTGTTCTGTTTCGCTGATGTGTTCCAGGTTTCTAGAATTGTCCCTGACACGTCCTAGGCACTGATTGTATTTGTCGAATGATAATGTTGAATGATTTGTTGAATGATAGAAAAAGAAAAGTATCCATTTTTAGAAAGCAATGCATAGGACATCTTTGGGCAACTAGGAATTCAGAAAGAGTTCTGTCACATGTTCCTTGCCATTTTATTATCCAGTTATCTTTAAATTGCTGTAGTTTGGTGAAGGTAAGTTAGTAGATATAAAAAAAAATTTAAGACCAGACTCTTAGTGATTTGGATCCCTGGAAAAAGAGATTAATTTTGCCTGTTGAAATATCAAATGTACTGAATTAAAGTTTTATTTTTATAGTTCAATTAAAATTCATGAGAATTTAAGTACAAAAAGTTTATATTGTCAGTATCTACTGGTTTGAATCTGTATTTTTATCTTCTGTAGTAGGTTTTTTGAGACATACTTACTTTTTTGTCTCTGTACTTGGTACTTGGATCCTTCCATTTCCAAGTTTCCAATTTTGATTTCCAAAATTAAAGGCAAGAAATGAAAAGATGAGACACAAAGGAAAGAAGATCTATTCTGAGATCAAAACATATTAAGTGTGCGTTTTGGTTTGAAGAAAGGTAACATACTTAAAATAGTTTAAGGAACATTGGAAATATAGTTAGTTATCTCAGTAAGAATGGAAGGGTTGGAAGGAGAATGAGATTTGAATACAAGGTGAAAGCAAGTGCACCTTGCTTGCTCAGCAGAGATGGCTGGAAGTCCTTCTTCGAAGTTTGACGACATAGGTTTATAATTTCGTAGGTCTCAAACTGTTCAGTAAGATATGCCCACCAGATCCAGAGTGGCTGGCATTTGGGCTCATTTGTTTATTTGCTTAAGTAACTGAGTGCCTACTATGTGCCATGTATTACTGATGTAGCAGTGAACAAAATAGGTTAAAATAAAACAGTAAACTGTAACTATCCTCTAGTAGATGAGACATGATAAACAAGATAAAGTAGTAGGATTTTAGAAACCCAAAGAAAGTGAGGAAATAAGTCATTCTGTTATTAGGGGAGGGGCATCATAGCCAGTGGAAAATCAAGTACAAAATCCTTAAATGGGAATATGCCAAATACTTTGAAAAACAGTGAGGAGAGGCCAGTGTGGCCGGAGGAAACGAGTGAGGCACAGAGAGCAGAAGTCAGGTCAGAGAGGTACAGGGAGACCCTTGTTGGACCGAGACCTTGGCTCTTATTCTGCGTGTGGTGGGAAGCCATTCCAGGAGTTTGAGCAGCCAGGTCTGGTGTGATTTTTAAAATAATTTTTATTTAACATAAACACTCACTCAGAGTGTATAATTCTGAGTGACAACAGTTCTGCTTAACCGAAACCACCACTATTACAGTTAACATGCAGAACTTTCTTCCCATCTCTCAAATCTTGTCTGTTGTAACTTTAGTTCATCTCTGCCGCCACCTCCTGCCCTAGAGAATTCACTGATCTGATCTCTTTTTTCTCCTGTGGGTTTTAATGTGCTCACTTTGGTTTTTTGTGTTGTCAGAGCAGATTGTAGGTCAGAGAGTGGGTAGAATGGGATCAGTCTTCCCAGTAACGCAGGCGAAAGAAGACTGGAGTGGTTCTAGTGGAGATGCCAAAGAGGTTGGATTCTGGTTCTTTTGAAAGTATTACTGACAAGGATTGTGGGTGGATTGCATGTCAGGTTTGATAATGAAAGGAAAGATGACTCGAGTGTTTTGGTGGAAACAACTGGCCAAAAGGATGGAGTGCAATTTATTTATTCATTTTAAAAATTATTTTATTTATTTATAGAGAGATGGGAAGGGAGGGAGAAAGAGAGAGGGGTAGAGAAACATCAGTGCGAGAGAGAAGAAACATCGATCATTTGCCTCTTGCACATCCCCATCCAAGGACTAAATCCTCAACCCAAGGTTGTGCCCTGATCGGGAATTAAACAGTTGACTTTTTGCTTTGCAGGATGACGTCTAACCAACTGACCCACACTGGGTCACAGCTGGAGTTGCCATTTAAAATAGAGGCTGTGGTGATGAGCAGATCGGGAAGGTGGGGGGGAGTATTAAGAGGTATAATTTCAGCACTTTGGGTAGAGCTAAAATAGTGCCTATGTCATGTAGGGAGTTTGAGCTCAGAGGATAGGTATGGTTACAGATTCAGATATGGAAGTTTTCAGCATATTAGTGGTATTTAAAAGTATCAGATTGGATAAGATCACTTTGAAACTAAGTATAGAGAAGAGAAGAAATTTAAGGACTGAGCTTTGGAGCATCAACATTTAATAAGCAGTACATCTGATGAAATAGTGGTCTAGTAATGAGCAAGTATCTGATTAGGGATTAATGAGTGGTGACGGTGATAAAGAAGGTTGTATTTAAAAAAATAAAGCCCCCAACTTTCACATGCTCTCATTGGAGTTGTTCCTTGTGATAAAATCCTTAGGTTTACCATGGGAGAACTTGAGATGATCCAAAAAAAATAAAAAAGAAGGAACTAAAGATAGTTGAGCTGATATAAGGAGTCTGGGGGAAAATTTAAAAAGTTACTGAGAATCAAAATAGTCTGTGATGATGAAAATAAGTTTTCTAGCTGTAGAAAGCATCTGAGGATTTAAGAACATGAAACCTATGTTTGTCATAATTAAAAAACAGGAGTAAGTGACATTGCGGAGGCAGAGGTAACCTTGACTGGGGAAAAAGCACAAAGGGTGGAATGTAATCTGGAGAGTGCTTTTTCCTGGTTGGTAAAGGTGGAAGGAAGAGACATCTGTAATGAGAAAGTTCTCTGTTGGACACAACGGAAAGGGAAGGAGCTAGGTGGGCAAGTTCTTTGAAGTTCCATTGCTTGGGAAGGTTTTGTGTTAAACAGAATCACTTCTGTTAGCAGTCAAAACGTTTAATTCCAGCTACAAATTTAAGTGTTCTAGTTATAAAATTTTTATAGGAAATAATCACACTGTTAGTGAAATGATTAGCAGAAGAACATACTTTTCTATGAGGTACTATCCTATGCAGTTTGCCTAATTTGTCTTCTTTAATTGAAACATTTTCTTTCGAGCCTTCTCCAGAAGAGGTCAGCACATTCCTAGTTACCAGTGTGTTGGCTTGCCGTGCTTAGTTGGTTTGCATTATTTTCATATCTTTGTAGAGGTATTTTGTTTTAGCATCTTCAGATCCGTCTTTGGGCTTTTTAATTAATCTCATTGTCAAGTTGATAATTAGTGTACCTAACTACAGGTTTTTATATAATGAAGATAGAAATCAAAGAAATCAAATGAAGATAGAAAGTGTTTTATATGTGCATAGGGTGCTATCATTACTTTTAGTTCTAATATGTTTTGAGGATGACGTAATTCTGTGGGGCTGTTTTGAACTTAAACTTGGTAAAAACATTGATGTTTTGATTACTAAAACACTGAAGTGCTAATTTTGTTAATATGGAAGTTATAAGATTTATAAAATATCACTGTGATCTATTTTTACTTAAGTATTATATTAATTTTCAGAATCTGGTAATGAATGACAAATACATTGTTTTTCTCATACATCTATAGGTCTTTTTGTTCAGGTTGATCCACCCTTTAACTTAGATAGATTCTTTAAAATTTAACCTAAACATAGATTGGCTAATGTTTCATTTACAATAAAACAAGCAACAAGCAAAGAAACCCCCCAAAACAAAAAAATTCCTTAGTTGTAAATTAGACTTTTCCCTTCCCAGAAATATTTCTTCTTTACTGTGTGTTCTTTAAAATATTCTAGCCAATGTGGATTCTTGGCTAGCCTTCCTGTTAAGCCACAGACTTAGGAGATAGTAAAGTAAACAGTGTTTTCAGTGTACCTTACCTTAACAAAGGTAATATGGTTTGTCTATTTGGCTATAGAGACCTTCTTTAGTTCCTTTTTTCTGTTTTGTGAAAGTATGTAATCAAAGGCGAAATTGCTACAAAATAGGGCAGAACAAGATGTGGTAGTGGTAATATCTATCTGGTCTAGGATACGAACACTTAAAAGTTCTTGATTAAAATTAAAAGTGCCTTGCAATGATATGTTAAAATAATGTGTTACCAATAATTTTTATCACTTTTTATCATTACTAGGTAATAGCTAAGAGAAAAGAGGATTCTGGAAAGATAAAACTTTTGCTTCATTGGATGCCTGAAGACATGTAAGTATTTAGAATACTATGAAATTAATACACTAATGTCTTATTAAAATCTTATACTAAAAATTTACTTACATTGTTGGATTCAAACATAAATGACTTACAGAAATGAAACTGTGAAGTATTTTGAGGTTGTCAGGATTAATGACAGAATCTCTGAAAGCCCTTACAGTTCCTGGCTATAGGTATAAGCTATAAAATTAGTCTTATTGTTTTTAATAAAAGTTGTAGCTATTTGTAATAGAATATGATTATTTTTAGGATTTTTAATGACCCTCAAGTAGTATGCAGGCAGCTTTAGTGGTCCTTTTGAATCATTTATTTAAAATATTTCTAAACATGCGTCAAGCATGCAATTGATGCTATTTTATAGAAAATGCAGTTAACCAGCTTTCCAGTAGCATTACATTTTTCTTTGAGCTTTAGTACCTTTTAAAGCACTTGTGACTCAGATGCTGCTTAATTTAGACCTTCAATTTTAATTTTCTTTTTAAAGTGTATTTTATTATGTTATTACAATTGTCCCAACTTTCCCCTCTTTGCCACCCTCTGCCTGCCACCTCCTCTTCTCTCCAGCAGTCCCTTCTACCTCTGAGTTCATGTCCGTGGGTTGGGCATATAGGTTTGGCTTCTCCATTTCCTATACTGTTCTTAACCTCCCCTGTGTATTTTGTACCTACCAATTATACTTCTTAATCTCTGTACCTTTCCCCGCCATTTTCCTCTAGCCCCTCTTCTGTGATTAACCCTCCATATGATCTCCATTTCTGTGATTCTGTTCCTGTTTTAGTTGTTTGTTTAGGTTGTTTTCTTTTAAGATTCACTTGTTGATAGTTGTGAATTTGTTGCTTTTTTAATGTTCACAGCTTTGATCTTCTTTTTCTAAAATAGGTACCTTTAAGATTTCATATAATAATGGTTTGGTGATGATGAACTCTTTTAGTTTTTACCTTGTTTGGGAAGCACTTTATCTGCCCTTCCATTCTAAATGACAGCTTTGCTGGGTAGAGCAATCTTGGATGTAGGTGCTTGCCTTTCATCACTTTGAATACTTGTCTCCAGTCCCCTCTTGCTTGCAAAGTTTCTTTTGAGAAATTAGCGATAGTCTTGTGGGTACACTTTTGTAGGTAACTCTCTGCTTTTCTCTTGCTGCTTTTAAGATTCTTTCTTTATCTTCACTTTTGTATTTTAATTATGATGTGTCTTGGTGTGGTTCTGTTTGAGCCTAACATGTTTGGGACTCTTTTGTGCTTCCTGGACTGCATGTCTGTTTCCTTCATCAAATTAGGGAGTTTTCTTTCATTATTTTTTCAGATAAGTTTTCAATTTCTTGCTCTTCCACCTCTCCTTCTGGCATCCCTATGATTTGGATGTTGGCATGTTTGGAGATGTCCCTGAGTTGTCCTATACTCTCATTTTATGAATTCTTGTTCTTTCTGTTCTGGTTGAATGTTTATTTGTTCCCTATGTTCCAAATTATTGATTTGAATGCTGGGTTCCTTCCCTTTACCGTTGGCTCCCTGTGGATTTTTCTTTATTTCACTTAGTGTAACCTTGATTTCTTCCCTTATGTTGTTGCCTCACTCAGTGGGTTCTTTGAGTATCCTGATCACCAGTGTTTTGAACTCCGCATCTGATAGGTTGGCTATCTCCATTTTAGTTCTTTTTCTGGGGTTTTGTTCTGTTCTTTCATTTGGGCTATATTTCTTTGTATCCTCAATTTGGCAGCCTCTCCGTGTTTGTTTATATGTATTAGGCAGAGCTGCTTTGACTCTTTGTAAAAGGCACCTGTAAATTGTGTGTGACAGAACCTTAGGTAATCACCAGAGCAGGGTAACCTGCTTCACTGCTTTGTGGCTCTGTGTGGGGGAAGGGCTAGGAGGGGAACTGTGCTGCTGCCTGGCTCCTAGAGGTTTGCCTGGCACTCGCCCTGATTCCAGTCACTTCACCCACATTCCCCATATGCGAATGGCTCCCTTCCAGCTGTTGCCCTGGTGTTGAATCCCAGAATAGGTGGGTTTGCATATGTTTTAAGACCCTGAGGGCCCTTTAAGTGATGTTTCCTGAAAATCGTGGCAGTTTCTTCTGCCAGCCAAATCCCCACTGGTTTTTACAGCCAGAAGTTACGGGGGATTTATCTTCCCATGCTAGAACCTGGGCTGTGTGGTCTGGCCTGGGGTTGGGATTGCTAGCTCCCAATGTATCTCCCAGTTTTTATTTACCACATGGGAATGTGGGACCAGCCATGCCAGTTCAGCCTCTCCCTCTCAGCCTGGTCTCAGTCTCTTTGCCCCTCCTACGGGTCTGGATGATTGTGGCTTCTTTAATTAAATCCTTGGTTGCTGGACTTCCATACAGTTCCATTTTCTGACAGTTCTGGGTGTTACTTGTTTTGAAATGTAGTTGTAATTCTTTTTCTGGCTGCATGAAGGGGCGAAGCATGTCTACCTAAGCCTCCTTCTTGACCAGTATCCAATTTTAGTTTTTCTATTAAAATTTTTTGTCTTGTTACAATAGGTAATAGAGGTATATTGTAGATATTTTGGATGAAATTGATAAGCACTGAGAATAGAATAAATTTAAATGAATAGAATCAACATGTGTATACTTATTTTTCAAAAATTGGCAGAATATTCTGGATATTACAGAATATTCGTTATGGATATTAAGTAATATTTTTACAGTTCTCTTCTCCAAACTCTTTGAATGTGATATGAATTAAAAGTTCTTAAATAGATTTGGGAGTTTACGGTGTATATTAGTATATTGATACGAAGAAGTCTAGTTTTTTGGAAGTCCTGTGACTATTAAACTTCTGTTAGTGTAGGAGATATATACCACCTTTCTCTCCCCCTTCCCTCCCAGGTTTTATGAAAATGCTACTGTAAGACATTTTAAAATACCCCTGCAAAATTTATTTAATATGCTACTTTTTGCTGAACATTAAGATTGCCCATGAGCTTATCATCACTAATTCCTTATTATATGAAATTTTAAAGGGACTTACCTAAGAAAAAGATCAGCTCTGGTAGTGTGGTTCAATGGATTGAGTGCTGGCCTGCCAACCATAAGGTCGACAGTTTGATTCCCAGTCAGGGCACAAGCCTGGGTTGCAGGCCAGGTCCCCAGTAGGGAGTGCATGAAAGGCAACCACACATTGATGTTTCTCTCCCTCTCTTTCTCCTCCCTTCCCCTGTTTAAAATTAAATAAATAAAATCTTTAAAAGGTTAAAAAATTTAAAACTATGAGCCCCAGCTGGTATGGCTCAGTGGATTGAGCACTGGCCTGTGAACCAAAAAATTTAAAACTATGAACAGTAAAATGACAACAAACTCAAAACTGTCAGCAACTGAACCTAAAAAAAAAACAACAAGCAAACACCTAGAACAGGAATGGAATCATAGAGATGGAGATCGAGTTGGAGGGTTTATCAGTGCGGGTGGGGGAGAGAAGGGGAAAAGGTACAGGGAATAAGAAGCATAAATGGTAGGTACAAAATAGACAGGGGGAGGTTAAGAATGGTTTGGGAAATGGCGAAACTGAAGAGCTCATATGTATGACACATGGACATGGACTGGGGTGGGGAATTACTGGAGGGAATGGGAGTACTGGGTGGGGGAGGGCAAAGGGGAGAGAAAAATGGAACAGCTGTAATAGCATAATCAATAAAATATACTTAGAAAAACACTAGAGGTTTTTCTGTACTGTTAAAGAGATATTAAAATCTATTAATATACAACCTGTGCAAAATGTTACAGTTTTTGATAGGCATTGCCCTCCTGAATTTTTACCAATTTTTAATCCTATCTATTATATTAGGTTATTCCTCTGGTTTATTATCAGCAGTGGCTAGCATCTTTCTTACATTTGGCATTTCTTTGATTACAAGTAACGTGATTTTTTAAACTGTTCATATCTTTGGTGAATTGATGGTGGTGTGATTCATCTGCCCTTTCTCTTTCCCCTAATGAGTGCTCACATCTTTCGTACTGATTTGTAAGAACTATGTAAGGTTATAAACATACAGAGTAGGATGAAAGTAGCTTTAGTGTTTTGAGTATGCAAAACAGAATTTACTCCTGATTATTGTATTATTTTTCACACAACTTCTGAACTTGTTTTTGCTCACTCTAGTTCTGACACCTAATTTCTTTATGAAGAAATAAGAAGTAAAAACCCCCACCAAGTACACTTGTAAAAATATGTACATGTAATTAAAATTCAGAAATCAAAGAAATTTATTTCTACAAGAAAATTCAAATAAAAGCATTTTTATATTTGGAATTACCAATTTCCAGAATAGTAAGAATATGGACATTCAAATATAATTTTGAATTATATTTGCTTCTTTTTCATAAAGAAACTCAGTATCTAATTTCCATCAAGTCAAGCTCAAGTGAATTTCACTCAGCAAGCTGAAAGGCAGTGTGTTCTCATGTGTGTTTCTCAGTTTGATGTGGCTTTGCCACTAAAAATTCCTAGTACGTTCCCAAATTTGTGCCTAAAATTTTACTCTTGTGTTTCTCCCTATTTCACTACCTAGACTGCTGAGCTCCCTTGGCTTCTGAGAATCTTGTTAAACTAGATGCCCTATCAAACTAGCAGACAAGGGTGGGTGATGTGGAGGTATAAGAGGGGTGAATTTAAAATTAATGTTACTTTATGTATTACTTATTTTTTAATTTACAGTTTGCCTGACGTGTGGGTGAATGAAAGTGAGCGACATCAGTTAAAAACTAAAGTAGTTCATTTATCAAAGCTACCCAAAGATACTGCCTTGCTTTTGGACCCAAACATATACAGGTAATTTAATTCCTAAGTTATGTCTTTTTTTTTTAAGATTTTATTTATTTTTAGACAGAAGGTAGGATGAGAGAAAGAGAGGGAGAGAAACATCAATGTTGGTTGCCTAGTGCCTGCTCCCGTAATGGGGACCTGGCTCATAATCCAGGCATGTGCACTGACTGGGAATTGAACCAGTGATCCTTTGGTTTGCAGGCCAGCGCTCAGTCCACTAAGCCATGCTATCCAGGGCTTGAGTTGATGTTTTACTTTCTGAATTGTAATCTTTAAGTCAGTAAATATTAGCTGTAAGGTTAGGATTTATTTTGTAAGGGGTGAATTCAAAACCAAACATAATCTTGTTTTCCAGAGCTTTTTATATGGCAGTTATATCACAAAGATTTATAAATTACAGAATTGAGAAAGATAACATTTTGATAAAGCGTATGTTCTGCTTTAATCCCAGATTTATGTTAAGTACTTTAATTGTAATATACATAGTATTCTGATAATAAGTACCTTTTATTTAAATATATAATACTTTTTGTAGTAGCAGACTTTGTGGACCGGGGAATGTATTGCATGTGCCCTAAATACCATAAATGATTGCATTTTTAAAAACTGAGACTCTTCCCAAACTTTTCAAAGAGCATTTTATGTATTACTGTCTGTTTTTGAGTGGTGGCTCAGACTGTTTACATTTCTAATTTCTGATCTGACCTTTGTTTTAGTAGGCTGTGCTTGTGGAGGTGTGGGGCGGGAGCGTGGGGAGAAGCAGCCCAGATTTCTGACTGTGTTGAGTCACTTTGTTAGGCTCTTTACGTGCACTTCGTCCTCACAGCAGCCCTGCGAAGTAGGTGTTACCTCTGTGTTACAGATTGGAAACTGAGGCCAGAGGTTCAGCTGCTTGCCCAAGGTTACACAGACACTATGTGACTGCACTCCATGCCACCTCCTCGCAAATGACATACACTAGGGTGATTTCAAACGTGATGAAAATGCTGAAAAGTCCCTCTGAAGGAACGGACTTTCTGTATTTTTAAAAGAAATGTTAATGTGTATTTCATGATAGGAATAGGTTGGGTAAGAGTAAGATAATCCCAAGTGAATTTTAACTGTCTATAAAGAGACTATGTCCTATGCCAAATTTTGAAGCCATGAACACTGAAGGTTTTGCTCATTTCATGGCTCAATGTTTTGGAATAGTATTCAATATAATAGGATTTCTATAATTTGAGACATCTTCTGAGAATGAAATTCTACCATAATGGGCCTTGCCAGGTGGAAACACTTGAGAGTCTTGAGTTTTTCCTACTCCAAAAAGAAATTTAAAAAAAAATCTTTTGGTGAAAGTTCTAAGTACAGTAACATTTTGGGTTTTTTGTGGAATGAGGTAGGTTATTGAGAAATTAACTAGCATAAAGAACAGTGAAATGACCATAAGGAAGAAGATTTAGGGAAATTCACTATCACTAATACAGAAAAGTCACTATTTAAGAAATAATGGAGTATTCTTTGTTTACCTAATTTAGGCTTTTTTCTGCTTACTTTTTGAAGGGAGTAATTAAAATTAGCATTCTGAAAGAGCGATGTTTTGGGAGAGCCGCCCTGCTATTACTGCTGGTTGTAAACATCTCTAAGAGAGTAGACAAAGGGGCGTGAATCTCAATTACAAGATTAAGACTAACTCCAGTGTTTCTGCCCTGCATTCTACTCTTCCCCTCCAGGGGTCTTCCCTTTTCACAGAACCAGCTTGTTTTTTTTCCTCTCCTTATGCTACATAGGAAGCAATTTAAGTAATTTAATGAAAGCGATGTAAAAAATCATTCCTGCTCAGAACTGATATTCTTAAATGCATAGGAATTGCCTGTCTCACAGTGTAATTCTACAATACTTACTGATACCATTCTTGAGTAATGAAGGTGTTCTTAGTGTAGGTACTTCTGTGGAGGTAATTTTTTTCTTTCAATTGTGTACCTTGCTTTCCCCCCCAGTCTTAACGTTTAGTTTTGAGTCTGCACTTTCATGTGTTCGTGCTTCTGCTGTTCCACAGTCAGAGTCTGGTCCGCTCCACAGTGGTGCAGAGCAGCAGAAACCCGACATTCGCCGTGCTGTCGCGTCCCGACAGTGTTTGAGATTTTGATGGAGGAAAGTTGCAAAGTTACGCAAAAAGGGAAAAAGCAATTCTAACTGGTTATAGGAGAAATAATTTGTGGTTTATGCACATTCAAAATAAAAGCATGGCAAATCTAAAAATACCTTTAAAAGATGAAAAAGAATCTGTTTGAGAATTTTAACATCAGATTTTAAAGTGCTAGTTGGGTAAAGTGCCTGTGTTAAATATGAGGTTGTTTTCAAGAAGTACACCAGCAGGCTGTATAAACAGGATTAATGAGAAGGCTGTATTGTGGAACTAAATTTGCATCTACTATGTGTGAATGAATGCTTTGGAAATAAATTTTAGTGATCAACGATCACATTGCCCATATTTTATAAATATATTTAATGTCTCTTTTGAAGTACTTAATGTGTTTTTGATACAGTTGAATGAAAGATATTTCTTTTTTTCTCTTTTTCTAGAACAATGCCGCAGAAGAGGTTGAAGAGGTAAAAATAAATAAATACATAAAAAGCAAACAAGCGGGGACACCTGCAGTCTTAGTCACTGACAGTGGGTTTAGTACAAGTTGCACATTAGAGTCAACCCCTTCCTTTTTTTAATCCGATTTTTAGAGTAATATTTATGCTTAGTGTAAACATTCTGTGAATGAAGTAGGCTCTTCTGTGGAATATATTAATATATTACTGTATATCCACATTTTCATGGAATGGTACTGTGGGAGACTGAGCAAACACTCTTCTGGCAACTTAGTGGAACAACTTCTTAAAGGCTTTGCATGCTTGCTGCTTTAAGCTGCTTTCCCCCCCATAATGACTACAAGTAGTTTATATTGGAAAGAAAAGTAATTGCAATGTATGCCCTTACAGATACCAAAAACACTGTAAGAGTATTTGTCTTGACAGTGTTTATTGATTTGAAGTCATTAGGAAATACTTAGACAATGAAAATTATCAACTATGATAATTAGATGTGATTGGTTGCCATTTGTGTTCTTTTGCAGAACTCTGATAAGAAAAGTGTTCAATTTGTATTTAAGCAAACAGTGAACGACATTTGCAATCAACTAAATATTCGACTTTCGAATTAGGGCTGAGAATTTCTGTTAAAGAGTGTTGCCGTATGTCTGGTGGCTCCCTATTCAGGACTAGGGTTTTCTTGTGGAGTACAGTATGTTAATATTTACCTATATAACTAATCTGTTAATGGTTTTTGAAAAACCTTTACTTCAAATATTTGAATAATCCTCATTTTCATTTTAACCTCCATAAGCCTCTAATTTTTTTTTTGAGGAAAGCATTTGGTTTATTAGTTTTTTTCATAACATGAGAAAAATTGTATTTTTTTTAAAGTATCTTCAAACTGAATCCTTTATGCACCAAAGTTGGTTTTGAAAAGGAAAATAAAATCACTTTCTTGCTTGGTTAAGCAAGAAGCCATATGGATTTTTTTTAACTTACAGAAATGGAAATATGTGTAACTTGTTAGTATTGTATCAAACAAATGTTCCATAGAGATAATAGAACATTGCTTGTAAATAATTCAGCAGATTTGTAATATATTTTTATATTATGAGATGTACTGTAGATGTTTTTCTAGAGGCATGAAAGTTAAATGTATATATTATGGGTAGAAATAATATTGAAGGATATTGTAATTCACTAGTGCTGCCAGAGGAATTGTTAATAAAGCACCTTCTTTAACAATAAATGTCTTTTTCAGACTTAAGGGACTATGTACTACTGTTAATATCTTTAAGAACAAAACACATTGAACATCCTTCCAGAAAGTCTTTGAGGGAGGACCTGTACCCATAATAGAATTATGGCACTCATTTCTGACAGTGACCGTGAAGTCAATCATTTCCTTACTGTTGGAAGGACATATTGTAAAGTATGTGGCTATATGCAGTCAAACTGCAGAAAATACTCCTGATTGAGGAGTTTTCACTTTACTACAATAATATAAAAACCAGCAGTTTTTACACTAAATTTTTTAAAGAAAGAGTAGACAAAAATATAGAATTAAAACTTTGGTTCCAAAATGGGAAAGTTCCATGCTACATAAATCATTTCTCATTTACTTTAAAAATATTTAAAAGTAAAAAGTATGGGAGACTTTATTCATTAACAATGGGGTAAAGAGCTATATACATGAAATGGGTCATATAAAATTAAATGAGGTGCAAATAGAAGCACTGCCACTATAAGACATTCTGGAATGGTTGTTTAGTAGGGTGTTATGATCTGTAGCAAATGGGATTTTATTTTTAAAAAGAAAAGCCGTATGTTTTCTTACTTTTTATTGTTCTCCTTTGCTTAAGCACTTCATTAATTGCTTTATTCTGTATCTGCGAAGTAATCTGTAATCTTTGTTCTTTTAAAATTTTGATTTGTTAAAAAAATTGCCAAATAGAAGTGTTCCAGATATATAGTTTGTACCTGTATTTTTTATTTTATTGCCTCATGTTCTTGTACGTCATTCTTAATTGACCGATGATTGTAGACCATGCCTGAGTATTTTTTCTAATAAAACAAAAGCAAATCACATTTAGCTTCAAAATTGTAACAGTTCAATTAAGTTCTCAAGCAACATCTGAAATAACATCTAATATTTTATTTTGGGACACTGCAAATAAATGAGTTTTTTCATTGTGTAGGAATATTTAGATGTCAGAATCAAATTTCATGGTTATTGAATAGCCTCTGAGTAAACACTCATGATACCTTGCTGCTTATCTGACCTTGGGCTGATATTAGTAACACACCAAAAAATACGGAATTGAAATGGAAGAGTATTTAACTTGTATGTAAACATTATCACATACTAGCACAATTATGAGCGGCAAGTAATGTGAACATTTTAATTTATAATGTGTATTGAGTGATTGTACCCATCTCTACTGTTCCTCCTAACTCCCATGTATGAGATACTTATAATACGGTGTCTGCAATGTAATTAGTCTCTAACTCCAAACGCGTGGTCTGGCTCGGCAGCGGACAGACCCACAGGCACACCTGTTCATGTATGTGCCGTCCGTGACCGCTCGCTTCCTGTACTGGCAGAGTTGGGCAGTGAGGCCTTGCGGCCTGCAGATTTGGAATGTATACTCTCTGACCTTTTAAGGAACAATTTGCCAATCTCTGGTGCAGTTGATAAAGTTTTTGGAAAAATACATCTAGACCACATAACCTACATTTTAATATAACAGTGTTACTCTCGGTAACATTAATTTTCAGTGAAAGCTGTTTACTATACATATCGCCTAGGTACCTGCAACAAATGGTGTTGTGTTTACACTTTCACATTGGACTTCTTCAGAGTTATTAATGCACCATTCGTGTTTTGTATTTTGTCTTACTAAAGAGGACTAAATGAGATTTTGTAAATCAGATCATGTTTAAATCACAAGGCACATCTTGCTCGATATATCTAAAAGAATCTTAGAAGTGGAAAATATTGTAAAATTTAAAGTCGTTTATTTTTTAAATAAACTTTTCATATATAATCTTCCTTAAAGTGGACACACATGACTTCTGAGTGTCAGATGAGAGGAGATGAATTGGGGAGTAATTAACTCTGAATGCGTATTTTAAAATTTGGTTTATTCTCTTTGAAAGCACTGATAATCATGTCAGTAAATATTTGATTGTAAAACTTTTTTCCTTTCACAAAAGTGTTTTAAATATTCAAGTATTCTTAAAAGGCTAGAATTCACAGCAGTTATTTAAATTACCTTATTTGCTATTTGAATTTTTAATATATGACTAACAAAAGTATTAGTATTTGAATAAAATATAAAAATGGGAAAATACGGCCAAAGTCTTTAAAATGGTTTGTGGGCGGCGCTTCCTGTACTCACAACCTACAAAAAAAAGGTGTTCAGTACCTCTGCAGAGTTCTCTCATAGGTGAACTAATTCTTATATTGAGAAATGGATATATTTATCTGTATAACAAGGCCTAGGGGTTGCAGACTCATAGGAAACACTAATATTTTTAGCCTTTTTTAAAATAGGGGAGTTATATTTATCATTTGATTGTTTTTATTTTTAAGAGAATTACATTTGGGGGGATATAAATGAAAAATTTTTTTATTCTAAAAAATGTGGAAACTAATTTTTTAAAAAGTATAGAGTTTTGTTGTAAATTTATTTTTATGTATGTATTTTTTTAATTTCTAAAGAATCTTTCCCTGGCTGGTGTGGCTCAGTTGATTGAGTGCCAGCCTGCGAACCAAAGGGTTGCCAGTTTGAATCCCAGTCAGGACACATGCCTAGGTTGCAGGCCAGGTCCTTATTGGGGGGCACGTGAGAGGCTACCGCACACTGATGTTTCTCTCCCCCTCTTTCTTCCTCCCTTCTCTAAAAATAAAATCTTCAAAAGAATAATATTTGACCTAGTAGAGCACATTTTGCAATTTAAGTCTGCAGAATTATGTATGTATTTTTGTCATTTCTAATGATCATGAGCCTCAATACCCTTTAAAATGTAATGAAATGCTGTATTCTTACTTTTAATTTTTTTAAATTAAAAAATATGGTTACACAGTCCAGTTTATTCTTTGAATCAGGTTTGCATGGTGTATAACACATGGTTCTTTTACTCTGAAAATTAAGAAGCACTTGTAAGCAGTTATAGCAAGAATTGCACCCCATATTTTCTTCCACATCAGTATTCTTTCTACTCTACCAAACTGCTTTCACAGTGCAAGAGAGGAAATCTAGTGTGTATTGTGATACCAACTATAAAGTTGTTCTAGTGTTTCTGCCATAGCCAGTTCCTAGCTTGATACAAGGCACAAAATAGCCACTGAAGTCCTTGTTGAATGAGCATTACAGGTGAGTACTTGCTATATAGTAAGATATTTTGGAGAGTTGTGGTCATATTAAACACTAACAGGATTGAAGCAACCTGGCTTAAGCCACACTGCGATAATGTTACCTAACTTTTCATATGAACCTGTACTTGTTTGTCTGAATAGTCTCTATGTAAGGGATTATTGATGTTACATTTTTATATACTTGGTTTTTAGCAAAACCAAGTATATATAAATGTTACATTTTTGGTTTGTTTATATGTTCCTGTTGAAGAAAATTATTTCAGAAATTTATCTCTATTTGAATCCCCAGTAGGTCTCACATCAGATTATTATATGCCCTGGGGTTTTTTTTAGTTTGAGAAAAGTGTAAAAGTTTTTTTAGGAGACTGTGTAGCTGGGGAACAATAATAATAGATTGTAACCTATGAGCATGTACTCTTGATAGCGGAGCCCAGGGCCAGTGGTTTAACACACACATGGCTGGGCGTCGCAGAAGACCTGGCCGGGCGATGCCAAGTGTGTGTGTTTCTGCATTTTCTAAATGAAGAGAGCCTAGTTATTTTAGTACTTGCATGTGTTTTTAATGCCTTAAAAGATTACAGTCATGTCATTTTTTTTGTAGATGAGAACTTAAGTTTCTGTGTATCTCATGGTTTTCAGGGGGTTTATAAGGAAGATAAACGGTGATAGGTAAAAATACAATAAAAAATAAAAATGTAATACAGAATAGTTAGCAGTTCATTGAGGATTTGTTTGAAGCATCAGTAGTGAAGCTTTCTAGCCAAAAGTAAAATTGAAAAATAATTTTTTAATATATTTTTTTGTTATTAAAGTTCTAATTGCTGAAATAAAGTAATAGTATAGAATAAGGATAGGAGTGAAAGTAATCACTGAACTGGCCACACTTTCCTGGTCTTGAAATTAATACTTTGTTAAATATTAACAAGTTAATGCAGAGGTGTTAAGAAGTATACATACTCTTTAGTGCATATTTAAGTTGTTACATACCCAGGTCTAGGGTTCGGCTTTTACTCGACACCCATATACAGGGTGTGACAAAAGCAGGTTGCAGTTGAGAGTACGTGAAACAGTTTATTCTTGTGATTGTGTTGTTTTCCATACAAAGGACTGGAAACCTACTTTTCCCACCCTGTAGAGCTTTCCGACTCTTCTTCATGGCTAGATGCAATATGCCATACATCATTCAAGCATTCCGCATTGGTTCACGTCGAGATTGCTTGCATGTTTTCTGTCATAAAGTGAATACAACAGCATCCTCGAAGCTAGTCTTGGAGAGAGGCTTCTGTAATGTAGTTTCTTGGAAGGGGCTATTAGCTAGACTTTAAAGTGTGAGTTGTGTCTATTGCAAATTCTGGTATTGCCAAAAGCTTTGCCTGAAATGGTGGTGTCACTATAAACTCCCATGGCCTCAATGTGAATGCATTTTTCTCTGCACTGTTCCAATACTTAAATTTTACTCATTAAATTTTAGTCTAAGGTGGGAAGCCGATTAAGAGCATGAAGTGCCTGGGTTTAATTCTCAGGTCAGCTGAAAACTGTGGCATTGGGAAGTTTTACTTAAACTCACAGGGCCAGTTTTTTAAAATTTGTAAAATGGCACATTATTTCTGCTTACCCAGTAGGATTTGCTGTGAGATTAGAAAGAGACGAATGTCCATTGTTTTGAATGAGTGTGGCCTGAGTCTTTACACTTCTCGATCCCTACAAACCCGCTCTGCATGTGGTCTTGTCCTTGGAAGAACATCGTGTAGGTTCCTTAGATTTTCTGATTAGCCTTGGATAATAAAAAGCCTTTCAGTTATTTGTAGTCACAAAAGTAATTTAACACCTTATCTCAGTATCTCCTAATCCATTTTAATTGTGCAAATTAAAAGTTTCGACACTTGCAGGTTATGAAAACACCCACACAAGATAAAGAACATTTCCATCACCTCCCATAAGTTCCCTAATGCTTGTTTGTGCTCATCCTCCCCCTTAGCCCCAACCCCACCCCAGGCAGCCGCTGATCTCTATGTAGACTGGTTTGCATTTTCTATAATTTTATATCAGTGGAATCCTACAGTATTTACTCTTGCATGTCTTTCACTTGCATGCCTTTCACTCAGCATGGATCAGTAAGTACTCTGAATAAGTACTTTGCTTATTTAATGATATTGAACATATTTCTGTACTTTTTGGCTATTTTTGTTTTAAATAGGTATTAGGGATGCTAAATTGTCTAAACTCTTCTGGCTTAAGGTTAAGATTTACTAAAATACAAAGGGCTTTTGTCTGGGATATGATTGGGCACCATTAAAGACATTATTGAGGCATTTTAAAAACAAGTTGTTTAATCATAATTTTATAATTGTAAGGTGGTGTGACTTAAAGTGGAACTTTCAGTATTTTATATTGGAAATGTTAGAACAAGTATTTGTAGGAAAGAAATTCGTTGCTGTTGCCCTGGGAATGTTAGGAAGTTCACTGTCAGCCTAAATTAATTAAGATGTTAATGGAAAGATAATCTTAGCATCTGTAAGTGCAAGGCACTGCTCTAGATGCTGAGGATTCAGCAGTGAACCAAATAAACATTCTGCATCTTACTGGACTTAGAAATGTGTGGGTGGGAGATGATAGGCAGAGTGCAAATGAGTAAAATACACAGTGGGTCATTTGTGAATGCTGTGAAGAAGAAGGGGGGGAAGGACTAGGGATAGAATTCATGATACAATTTAAGTGAGTAGTTGTAAGGCCTCATTGACAAGGTGCCGTTGGACCAGAGCTCTGAAGGAGCTAGGTCATGTAGGTATATGAGGGAAGAGCGTTCTGGCAGAGAGGGTCTGTATAAAAACCCTTCTGGCAAGGCCGTTTATTCAAATGTGTGTTAGGTTCTTTACTTCCCCAGCATGAGCCCAGGCATTGGTGATGCTGCATGAACAAAATGTTAAAAAATTAGTTCCATTTTCTCGGTGTTGATATTTCATCATGCTTTGGTGTACTGTAGCTCTGGACTTGATTTGACTACCTTTGAGGAGATGGGAAGCCATTGGAGGGTTTTGAGCAGAGAAAAGATCTGAATTAAGTTCTAAAAATACTGATGGCTCTTTGAAGAATTGACTCTCAGGAGCAAAGGCAGAGGTAGGAAGAACAGTTAAAAGGCTATTAACATAACCAGCCTGAGCTACCAGCGTAGCTCAGTGGATTGAGCATGGCCCTGTGAACTGAAGGATCGCAGTTGGATTCCCAGTCAGGGCACATGGCTGGGTTGCAGGCCAGTTCCCAGCAGGGGCTGCAGGAGAGGCAACCATACATCGATATTTCTCTCCCTCTCTCCATTCCTTCCCCTCTAAAGATAAATAAATAAAACCTTAAAAAAAAACAAAAAACAGAAAAGCATAACCAGTGACTGGACCCAGAATGCACCGGATGGTGGTCATATTTGGAGGTAGGTTTCCTGGGAGTTTGGATGTGCTGTGAGAGAGAATGGCTCCAGGATTTTTGGTGGGAAGAGCTTGAACTACTGGTAGCATGGTACGCCATCCCAGTAGTGATGGAAGGAGGGAAGTGTGGTGAAGGGTTGTGAGGGGTGAATTATGCTTTGAATGGTTTATATTAGGGTGCTATTTAGACGTCCAGCGGGAGTGTCATGAGTCAGGAATCTATAGTGGAAATGATACAAGGTTAGAAGACTGAATGCAGTTTACATACTTTGAAATCTAGGTTAAGTTGTTACACATTCATAAAGACGAGTATCATTTCACCTCCAGTAAAAAATTCGAACTTCCTTATGTGTCTAACTTGAGCAAGAGCAGGACCCTGGGCATCTGGGAGCAAGTAGCAAGCAGCGGAAATTCCACCCACTGAGACTTGGTGGAAACACTTTCTGTTGGGTTCATCAAGTGTCAAGTGGTGGGACAGAATGACCCATGGCTTGACTTGCTTGTGATAAAATATTTGGGAACAGAAAGACGACTGTCTTTTATACCTTTTGTACCAACACCACTTGGGTCATCTTCCATCTTTCCTGCAGTGATGTGGGCTAAGTAGGCATTAACGTTGCCCACTTGAAGGAGTGGCCATGAATCAAACGTCAAGTGCCAGGCTCTGTTACCTTAGCTCATTCAGGGCTCCCGTCCCCGAAGCTGCCATTACTCCATTCCGCAGTGAAGGAAACAGGTGCAGAGAGATGAAGCCATGTTCCCGAGATCACGAAGACAGTGAGAATTCGAAAGTCAGAGAATTTGTGAACGATATCCTGGAGGAAGTGCTTTTGGAACTCACTGTAGAAAGACACAGTGAATGCCAGAGGAAATACCGTGTGCAGAAAAGGCAAAAAGTTCAGTACAATTGTGTAGCTACTTAGTACCTGGCATGTACATGGTATTTTGAATAAAAATAAGGTATTCTGTTCCTACGTTCCAGACTCGGGTATAGCGAGAAGATTATAGTGACATTAATGTAATTTCTGTACAGTAAGGGCCGCGGAAACCCAGAGCATTGGGCCAGCCCTGGAGGGCAGCGCAGGCTCCTCCAAGAAGGCGCCCCGGGTTATAACCTGTAAAGACCACGTGGGACTTAGTGCTGGAGAACTGAGGAGAAGACGTAGTTTAAGACAGGGATCTCCAGGTCCATGTCGGGGACCGGCCTGGCGTCTAGGTGAAGCAGGAGGTGGAGAGTGGTTGGTGGCGAGTGTGCAGAGGATGGTGGATCCTCCGCGGAGGGCCCTACCGCCTCGTCCCGGTTTGGGCTCTGTGTGGAAGACGGATGGGGAGCCATGCAAGGGTTCGGGGAGAGCACGGATGGTGACTGCCTGGCAGTCGGTGCGAGGCCGGTCAGGTGGAGTGGTCGGTGGGGAGACAGGTCAGGGGGCTGCTCGTCCTCGCTCTCCACGGGGGAAATTAAAGGGAATAAATCACAGTTTTCAAAGATGTTTAGTTTTACTGAAAAGTAATTTCCCAAGACTTAAAAATACTAGAATTCATTCCTGGGAAGCTTAATACATTTTCTTAAGAGTTTTTCATGAAGTGTTACCTAGTAAATAAGGTCACACTTGCTTCCAGGTGTGAGGTTGGGGGCTCGATCAAGTGTCCTTTTTAGCTGTACGTTGTTCTGATTGTGCCATTACATGTTTTCTTTCAAAATGAGATATAAACAAATGACTAGAGTAATACAGTGTACAGTATATTGCCCATTTTGTCCAAGAGGTAAAAACACTAAAATCACCCTTCGAGCACTTAAAAATGGTCTTGCCTCTACGGTATGTAATATTCAACTGGCAGTTCTGCACATATATATTTCCAAATAGTGAAACACGGCCTTCTTCACAGGGGACTAAGTAAAAAATTATTATTTGTCTTCAGCATTGTGGCTTATTTTGTGACATTGTGCAAATCGCTTAGGAATTAGCAACATACAGAATATTTTCTGAAATACAGAACTGTATGTAGTATAGAGAGGTTAGCTGATATTTGTTGTTTATAAGGACATTTGAACGTGAAACAGGTATTCAGAGCAGCTTTAGTAAATATCAAATAACTGAAATTTAGTTTCTTTGCCAGAAAAGAATAAAGGGCAAAGCAAAGTACAGAAATGCATCATGAAGAGCAAGATAGTGCGTAGTAGGTGTTTTCTGTGCCTGGGAAGAGGGGCGAGCAGGTCTGCCCTGGGCACCACTCCGTGGAGACTGCAGGTCGAGGTCCTTCCTTCCAGAAGGCACTTTCTGGGATTGTTTCACCAGCCCTTGGAGAAAATATAAAACTGGTTTACCCTCCACTTTTTTATTTCCCTTTTTTTTTCACAAAAGATTTCATCTTAAGAAATACGAAGCAAGACATTATTTTTTAAAAACTGATAAACATAAGACCCTGGAAAACTTTAAGGCACACCTGGGGTGAGGCCCCCACAGTGCATGTTCTGACGTTTTATTGACCAGAGGTGGGCCACATACATGTTAGCTCGAGCTCATTTATCAAGCTAGAGTAAAGGGGAAGTTTCAAAATCCATTGTGTTTGTAACTTGTCATTAAGCATTTAGAAATAGCTGGATGCAGGGTTTGGTGGAATTACATATGCCTCATTTAATCCATCCAGTTTACATATGAAATACAGGTTTCACAATTTTTGTTTTACAGGTGAATTACTCACTTAACTTTCCCAAGACCGTACAGCTAGCAGGTTGCTGAGCTGGGAGTTTGAACCAGTTCTGCCTGATCTTACTAATCACTGTGCCTTTTGGATAAGTGGTTAATTATTTGAATGCTTTTGCACGCTGTGTAAAAGCACCCTGGAAAGAAGTGTCAAGGAAATCATAACCATGTTTTGCTCACCTTTTTTTTTGGTCTGATTCCAAGCAATTCCACTTATTAATACTACTTTTATTGCCTAGCGATTGAAATTATGGTACAAAACCATTTGAAGCATCTTATCCTCGCTTAGTCCTTCTCTAATGGTCTTCTTTTCTTTATGTAGATCCTGATGTGGATGAAAAAGAGGCCACATTCTAACCCTGAGAAGCTCAGGGGAGGTCTGCATGGTGGCCCTACCTACTCAGAGACCGAAAGTAACCACACAGGATGGTCTGAACATTGAACTTCCTAACCAAAAACAAGCCGTGGTGGGTAGTCACATCATCGGCCTGTAGCTTCCTTGACGGAGGTCAGCCTTTACCTTAGGTGAGCCTGTCTGTTGTCTTGGTACCGCTAAGATAACATCCCCTTGCAGAGTCAGAGGAAACCCCTTATTCTGGGCCCCTTGGGGTTTGCCTGCTGCACCAGGGCAGGAGACCACAGAAGCCCTCGTTATCTTGTCCTTCACACACCATCTCTGCGCTGCAAATGTTACTTGTCAACCATCCTGTACCCACCGATGTAAAAGAAGTGTGTCTCCCACTTTTTATCCAGTCCCAGAGATTTTCCCCCTTTGTTTTTTCAGCCCCCCTAATCTGCCACCAATGGCTTTCATGAAACCCTCCTTAACATCTCCTCCTTTGATTCCGAAGTGTAAAATAAGTTGCCAAACTGCCATTCTCTGGAGCATTTTCTCAATCCATTGAGATTTTGTTTCCTGGCAGTTGTCAGTTGGGCTTAATAAACTAAAAAATTCACTACCGGTTTGGACATTTCTTACATTGACCCTGACCTGTATCATTTCCTTCTCTCCAAAGAGCTTAGTGTTTCTTGCAAAGAGGACCTACTGGCAACATATTCCCTCAGTTTTTTGTTTGCTGAGAAAGTATTTCTCCTTCACCTTTGAAGCATAATTTTACAGAATAAAGAATCTAGGTTTGTGTTTTGTTTTTTTCCTTTTAATACTTGAAATATTTCTCTTCACTTTCCTTGATTGTGTGGTTTACGAGGACTTGTCTGGTGTTATTCTTATCTCAGCTCCTCTGTAGATAAGGTGTTTTTCCCCTCTGCCTTCTTTCAAGATTTTTTTTTTATTTTCTGCGTTTTGAATAGATACACCTCGATGGAGATTTTTTTTTGCATTTATCCTTGTTGTCTAAACTTTCTGTATCCGTGGTTAGCTGTCTGTCATTAACTTGGGGAAATTCTGTCTTTATTGCTTCCAATATTGTGCTACTTTCTCATTGCGGTATTCCCTTTACACATAGGCTGTACCTTTGTAGTTGTCCTGTGGTTCGGGTATATTCTGTCCTTTTTTCTTTTTTAATCTTTTCAGTTTTGGAATTTCCTTTTGCTATATCCCCAAGCTCACAGATGCTTTCCTCAATTGTGTCTAGTCTACTAATGAGCCCATCAAAGTCAGTTTTCACTATTGCAGTGTTTTTTTATTCTAGCATTTCTTTTTGATTCTTTTAATTTTCATCTCTGCTTAGGTTAGCCATCTGTTCTTGAATGTTGTCTACTTTTTCCATTAGCATATTAATAGTTATTAACTATCCTAGCATATTGATCTAATTATTTTAAATTCATGGCCTGTTAATTCCAGCATGCCTGCTGTATCTGAGTCTGCTTGCTCTTTCTCTTTCAAATGGGTTTTTTGCATTTTAGTATCCAGGTAGTAATTATTAAAAGCTGGATGTGATGTCGCTGGTAAAAAAGAACTGCTGTAAATAGGCTTTTATTTATTTATTTTAAAAATATTTTATTTATTTATTTTTAGAGAGAGGGGAGGGGAAGGAGAAAGAGAGCAGCATTGATGTGAGAAAAACATTGATCAGTTGCCTCTCTCATATGTGCCTTGACCAAGGACCCAACGTGCCCCGACTGAGGACCGAACCCGCAACCTGCAGCTGAGCCACGTTGGTCAGGGCAAAGAGAGAAACATATATTTGTTGTTCTACTTATTTCTGCATTCTTTGGTTGCTTCTTGTATGTGCCCTGACCGGGGATTGAACCTTCAATCTTGGCATATCGGGGATGCCTGTTCTAACCAACTGAGCTACGTACTGGGGCTTGCTTGCTTGCTAGTTTTATTTATTTAAGTTTTTATTTGTTGATTTGAAAGACACACACACACACACACACACACACACACACACACCAATTTGTTGTTGCACTTAATTGATGTATGTGCCGCGACCAGAAATGGAACAAGCCACCTTGATGATGCGCTAACTAAACTACTGAGCCAAGGCTGTAAGTAGGCTGTTAGTGCTGTGGTGGGGGCGTGGGTGTGGGGGAGGGGGTCTGTGCCCCGGGGCTGTGGCTTGCACAAGTGCCTCTCAGTTTCTCCCTTCTTTAGGCGGAGCAGGATTCCTGGAGGAGGCTGTAGCTGGGCACTTCCCTTCTCCCACCTGGCAGCCTTTTCCCAGGTCCGTTAGGCCTTGTAAAACTCTCCAGCAAGGATTGGTTCTGGTTAGAAAGCTTATTACCTGCAGGACAGTCCTCACTGAGACCTGCAGAGTGCTGCGGATCTCTTTGAAAATGGCTGCATTGCCCCTTCTCCTGCCAACAGCAGGAGGGGACTTTTCCCTGTCTTCACTGTGAGAATCTGATAGGACTCCCTGAGGTAAAACACACAAGCGTGTGTGTGTGTGTGTGTGTGTGTGTGTGTGGCAGGGGGGAGTGAGGAGTAGAGAGGAGCTAAGACCCGGTCCTTTTGGACTTTTTAACTAAACTAGTCCACACCGAGCCTTCAACAATTCACCAATGATAGATAGTTCTGGTTTCCCTACTTCAGAACTGGTTCCCACGGAGGCGTCTGGTCCAGTGAGTTCTGATTCTCTGCATCTGCCTGTGTCTCTAGTTTTAGGGACGGTGATTCGCTGTGACCCCAAGTCTCCTAGGCATCTAAAACAAGTGATTGATACACAGTTCAGCTTTCTATCTGTTAGGATAGAGCGACTTCCAAGCTCCTTGCACTCCAGACCAGAAACCAGAATGTCTGACGGTTATAAATAGTAATCTGCTATTGACTCATCCATTGCTCTGGCTTCGTTTCTGCAAATGAGAATGAAGCACATACAAGGGTCAGGGGTGTATTTTCAGGCTGCGATGTAATTTATGTCATCTTACGTTCAGCATTCTCAGGCAAAAGTAAATACAATATCGAGTTTTTCTGGTTTTTAAGTTCTGTTTTTCCTCCACTTCACTGTATTCAAAATAGAGGGACTCGAAGAAAAAGGAATCTCAGGAGCAAAAATGGAGGGATCAAATGAGGATCAAGAAAATGTAATGATTCAGTACTTACTGGATTCTGGGGACACAGGAATGAGTAACACCAACGGCCCGGTTCTTACAGAACTTACACTGTAGTGGAGAGGCGAGCAGGGAGACAAAGGACACCAGGAGTTTTTGCTCTGGCCGGTGTGGCTGGGTCGGGGCATCATCCTGTCACCCAAAGGTTGCAGGTTTGGTCCCCAGTCTGGGCGCCAGCATGTGCGATCCCTGGTCAAGGAACAACCTGTCTGTTCCCTGGTCTGGGTGCGTAACGTGTGCAGTCAATCAATTCTCTCTTCCTCTCTAAAAGCAATGAAAAAAATGTCCTCAGGTGAGAATTAAAAAAAAAGCACACAATAATTTCTGTATACAGCTGTAATTTGTACCAACTGCTTTGGTCCTGTGGTTACACGTCTTCACTCTTGCACGAGAAGCACCTAAATCCGTTTTTCCTGGGTGCCATGGAGCAGGCCGAGAAATGCTCCTTTCGCCATAATTAGGAGGAGAGGTCTGGGATAACATTTGTTTTCACCCAGCTCTGGCCAGACAGAAGTAAGGAGAAAACTTAGGGTCCTATATGGAAAGTGGGGGCAGAGACCTCTAAGTTGCTCCCAGTCTTTTATGTACAGAGAATGAATAGAAGATTATTTCATCAGTTATACATCAGTTACTGTTTCAGGGGCGAGACCTGGTCGCACTGGTCGGTCCTGGAGGAGCTTGTACGCGATGTTTGCAGGAAGCTTTCCCTTTTGGTTTACAGGATTACCTAATTTAAAAAGAGGAGATATGTATAAAATCTGGATTTAATTTGTATAGTTGTTTTTGGAGAAAATGGGAACAAGTTTCAGAAGAAACTGCAGCACTCAAATGGATAGCATTTTATTTAATAGCTGGATAACATCCAAGAAAAAGGCGGACTTCATTTTTAGCACTGGCAGTTTGTATTTCTGTTTACTGGAAACCCCTCAGTAAAAGAAAAAAACAAGCAGAGTAATTCTTTGTCAATAAAATACATTTTCCAAAAGTGTCAGTTTTCTTGAAAATGTTCCAAATATGAAAGCAACATATTCAATATAGAGAATTTAGAAAATCTGG